TTCTACTTTGTGCCATTTTATTAATAAATTGATATAATATTACTCCTGCTAAGCGTTTCAATTGCTCTTAATCCTACAAAATCAGCCTCATCAATGTCCAACAATGTCCGGCCGGCAGTAATTTGCGAACTATTATAAGGAGTTATAACTTTTCAACTTAACAACTGTTGTACTATCGTATGTACCAAGTGTCAGAGTGTCTTTATCTTCGACTACCACATATGCATTACATACTTATATACATGCAACACTCAGGAAGTGTAAAAAATGTTTACAATGTTACATCTTTTATCCTTCAAGATATATTAAGCTTACGTTTCTTTATTATGTTACTAAACTTTTACAGTTTATGAAGTAACATAAGAGTTCTACTTAAATATCAAGGAATTGAATATTTAGATTTATAATTAATATAAAAATGGTAAGTCTTCATATGCATTTAATGCATATATCATACCACAGAAGGGATACTTATAATCATACATATATATATATATATATATAAATGTGTACACATTATGACGTAATGTGTTTTTCTAAAATGTATTATGTAATCAAGATTAATTTCTATTTAAAGCGTTCAGTATGCTGTAAATATTATATTCGGAGCTATAATAATTGTGTACGTATATGTGTATATGAATATGTATATGTATAAAACTTTTTTACAAAATGTATCCATCATGGTCTATCATGGACATCATGGTCCATCGGGTCCATCTCATATCTCATATCACTCGGCTCTCGGCTGTGTATATATGTATATATGTATATATATATATATGTATCAAGACATCAGTTGTAGCAACAGCGTTTGACGTGACGTGCGACGTGCTACGTACTGTCAGTTGGTGTCAGTGCAGTTGCAAATGGCGGGCGCCAATGGTGACATTTCCTCAGTAGAGAGGAAGATCGAGAAATTAGCGATATCTGCGGAAGAATCGTTGAAAAATGAGAACGAAAGGGAAATTGCGGAAAGGCCGGAGTCTCGCTTGTGGGGTTTCGAGACTAAAGAATTGTACAAAATCGCGGTCAATTTCTATAGAGGTGAGTCTCGAGTTGTATTGACAGCTCACTAGAATAAGATCGCTATTCAATTCTTATCGTTCTGTCAGGAAAATTACATGTTTGATAAATGATATACGTTATTACATTATTGCGTTAGTTATAATTATCCCGGTAATTTCCGTTGTCAATGATTTTTTTCCTCTAATTATAAAAATTTAGTAGAATACAGCGCGATCACAACTTCAGAATTATATACATTCATAATGAGTAAAATTAATTTAAAATTTAAAAGATTGTAGTAAGAAGTTTGTTGTTATGTTTAATTTGCATATAGCATTCTCGTATTTTTTTAGATCATAGACTTGTTTTATTCCATTAACAATAAATGACGTCTGGTCATTACAGAAAAGGCAGGTAAAGCAGTTCACTTGTCTTATGAAGACAAAATGAAACTGGTAGCTTTTACTCAACAAGTAACACATGGCAAATACATACCAGAGAAAGCACTACCTCTGGGCGTACTAGATGTGATCGGAAGGGATAGACGTTTAGCATGGCAAAACTTAGGAGATATATCCAAAGAACAAGCAATGGAAGGATTTATAATTTTATTGGACAAGTTATGTCCCTTATTCAGAACCGTTGTAGAAGCCCAAAAGAGAGACATAGAAGAAAAATTACGATTGAAAGAAGAGGAAGAAGCTAGAAAATTGGAAGAACAGCAGAGATTAAGGGAATTAGAGGAAGAAAGAAAGAGAGAAGAGGAAGCTAGATTAAAAGAAGAAATACAAAGGAGACAAATTCAAGATGCCTTAAATCAGCAAACGTATTATCAGTTCAAAATGTATGCGGAACAACAATATCCTGGGAATCCGGAGCAGCAAGGAGTATTAATAAGGCAGTTGCAAGAGCAACATTATCATCAGTATATGCAACAGTTACACCAGAATCAATTAGTCATGGGAGAGCAAACTCCGGATATGAATGATACGACGTTAGAGAGCACGGAGAAAGACGAACAGAAAGATACGAATGAAACTGTTACATTGAACGAGGAAGATTCCGACGACCTGCAAGATGCATATCCATCTATAGTTGCTGCGAAAATGTGGACTAGAAAAGGTGTTGAGGAGTTCAAAGAAATTATTAGGAGAGAGGATGGTGATGCAGTTATTAAGGTCGGGCATGGAGAAATAGTGACTGTCAGAGTGCCAACACACAAGGATGGCTCTTGTTTATTTTGGGAATTCGCGACCGATGGCTATGATATTGGGTTTGGAGTATATTTCGAATGGTCGAAGCCAGAAACTAATCAAGTATCAGTGCATATTAGTGAATCGGAAGATGAAGACGATGAGGACGATGATTTTGAGTCGAGAGATGATTTGGAAAGCGGTGTAACGAATGGCACGATTCAGTCTGATTATAAACCGATGTCACCACCTATAAGTGTTATAGTACCTGTACGTATATTACTGATATTCTAATTTGATATTGATTTTTATTTTTCGATAGTATTTTTATATGTCGATTGAATTTTACAGATATATAGGAGGGATTCGCAAGAAGAAATCTATGCAGGAAGTCATAAATATCCAGGGCAGGTTAGTGGAGATATCCGAATATTGAAAGAATAAGGCATAAATGTATTACTATTTTCAGTTAAGTAGAAAACTACCATAATCAAAAACGGTTCGAGGTTCATTGTCCCAAGCTGTACTTCAAATACAATTCCTTTTACGTGGATATTTATTTGTTACAGGGCGTGTACCTTCTCAAATTCGACAATTCGTACTCCCTTTGGCGAAGTAAAACGCTTTATTATCGAGTCTATTATACGCAAAACGGCTATGTCAATAACTAGTTTTATTATGTAAAATCACTGCGATTCACTGACTGTACAATCGTTGAGAATCAGCTCGATGCAACGTTCCGCCGATATTGCTAGTCCAACTAAGCGAAGTGTCCTATATCTTGTTTCTGTTCATATGGGAAAAATAAGTGTTCGCAAGATGAAAAAAATATATACTTATTATAATTATGTAATGACATTTTATTGTTTAATGTGACAAACAAAGTGGGCACAAGTAAAACAAGTAAAAACTGCGGTTCCTATCGTTCCCCTTCCCTTGGACGTTTACAAAAATCAAGTGAAATGAAATAGAAACGGAGTGTATCAATATATCGATAACAACAGTACACTGTGCATCGTAAATAATTCGTTTTAGTATCTGATACAATAGTGTCATATTCGATCATATATCAATGATTTTACGCATAATAATTGTTTTCTTTTAAAGATTTTAGCCTGCTTTCGTTTTTATCACATTCACGTCTGTATCTTATACTTTTATTAATACTGTCCCACGTTTTACAAAAATATATTGAAATGAAAATGTTTCGGTGTTTCATTCTTCCTCGTTACGATATTGTCGTATGTGTAAAGGAGTAATTAAAGATCGGAAATATTTTTAAAAACCATGTTCATTTTCCTATCAACGTTTATTGTACTATAATCATATTGTTTGCTTTTTTTGGCTTTTCTTACAGAAATTATTTATATATCGTACTTATCAGTAATCATAATCATAATTATATACGCAGCGATATATAATCAGAGGCTTTCCGCGCGAACAAATATGCTTGTGTGTAATCACATATATGCGTGTTCGCAATTGTCACGTAATAATAGACAATTCGTCGTATAACAACAATTTTTTATTTAGAAGAGCACTTTTCTGAGACGGCATGGGTATTTCCGAGTATTCGTTGGAACAAAGGCTTTCGAATTTCACGCTGAACCATGCTAATGTGTATCCTATTCGATAAAACGATTTATCGTCTGTGATCGCTACCATGTGACGTAATAATTCGTTATCAATTAATAATTATATTTATGATGAACCTTCTTCACGTCACGTGAAGTGTGCCTCTGGGAAAGCTTCTCGAAAAAAAAACTTGCAAAAAAATGTTGAGCTTTGAAATTCATTCGTTGAGAAGTCAATCGATTGATTTGACAATTTTCGATATTTTTGGCATCGCTAGTAGATGGAGATTGGCGAAAAAAGTCAAAGACATGTTAGAACACCAGAAGAACATCAGAATTTTTTCAAGTCACTCGAACTGCAATTAATATTGAAAAAATTCAGCTAGCTGCGAACAATTTTTTAAACGTTCTAAATTTAAATACTGCATTACTTTACGTTATAAAATCCGATCCTATATATGCGAAGTGTTTCTCTGTTGTTTTTCTGCAAAATAGTCTATCGAACATACTACGGTATGCAAAATAGAAAATTGACAATGTTGTTCGTGTTAAACTTAAAACAATATAATTCGCGCGCATTATCCTGAGAGATGTCTTAATTAAGGTCACCATGCGTCCTCCCTGAACATATTTTGCTTTTTAGACTTTAAACAGTCCCGCCGGATGTTTCAAATAATATGTAGAAATGGTTTTTATTTTACGCACGTTTGCTCAAATTATTATTATTATTATTATTATTTTGTGCAGACTCAATGAATTAAAATACGTCCTCTTTTTTCTATCAAATTTCATTTCCACCTCCCTTAAGAGGAAAATATGGTGACCCTATCTTAATACTTATATGTGATGGAGTTCTGTTATCACATGCTTCGTCGGTGAACAAGTTTACAATGCACTCGTTATATAGTACGCACGTCCGTTTCTTGTATGAGTCTAATTATTTTCATTTAAATTTCGCGTGCAAATTGGACGCGTAATAAATAACGTCGTTTCATCCTCTTTGTCAGTGATACTCAGATTATTCGGAAAGGCGGTTTGAATCGCGAATATGCGTGCGTCGCGTGATTTTTCGGTGATCGAAAACCGAAAATACGTATATTATGATTTCGCGGAAGTTGTCGCAAAGTGGAACGTTCAGTGATTCAAAATGAATAGGTCACAAACGGGCTATTTTTCTGAATACTAGAATAGCACTAACTACCCATTATATAGATTTTAATTTTGATTGAGAATAGAACAGAATTAATCGTTGTTTGGCCAAGAAATGGATTCGAACGGGTTGACGAATAGCGCTTAATTAATACTGGTGTTGTCAAGGACGAACATCTGTGTCAATATACACGTACACACACATGCACATATTACAAATTCGAGAGTTCTAATTAATCTACTTACAGTGAAGAGTGGTCATGATATAATTAAATTCCTCATTGCTCTTCTCACTCAGTGGACTTCTCCTTTTAAACATCTTCTACATTCTCGGTTTATAAAACAGATAAAGTATAATACGTACAGTTAATCAGTTTTAATATCACATATTCAAATTTTTAATTTGAAATTTGCAGTTCTGTTTACAAAATTGAATATTGCTATTTGTTCTCTCGCTCCCTGAGGACCTTAATTACACCACGATTATCTTTGAGTAATGTAATGATCTCTATCAATCATGATTATCATGATCAGAAATTGGCATCGATACACATTATCTCAGTATACTTTAATATGAAAAATATCGACCTAAAAGCATTAATGGTGCGTTTTGTTTCCTCGTCGTAATATTACAATAATATGTATATTACGTGTGTATATCGTCTAATAAATACAAAGTATGTTCGGTCAAAATGCCGAGGGACCGGTAAAAACGATTCGAATTACGAATAGCCTTTTCCTTCTCTGTTGCAGCGAGCAAACATGTAGACAAAAATATATGTATATACGTAATATATATATATATATGTATAATATACTTATACATAGTTCTTTCTTTGTATTTCTATGTGCACGGAAAAGCGAAGACTTTCAATCGTTTTTCGGCACGGATTTTCTCTTCTCGATTTTCATTAACGTGTTTTGCTTACTACGCAAAGTATTAATTTACGTGCTTTTCTACTTACGTTTGAGCGAGCGTGTTTCTTTTTATGGTACGAAAGGACCGCGCGGTACGGGTCAGGGGATGCCCTCAGGCAATGGGTCGAAATTAAAACGAAGCTCTCGTTTTTGTTTTTGTTATGCACACCCAGTCGCAATAGCAACTTATTAAATTGGTGCGCGTCTAACATTATTCAGAGTATCCAAGACACTCTGCTTTACTATAACAACGGATTAACAAAGTGTTGTTTTAACAACCGAAGTACTTTATCGTGGAGAATTATAGTTTTCGAATATAAACATCTACGTATTAGTTTAAAAAATGATTTCTGTTTTCCGAATTTCGTGTCGACTCTCTGACATCATTTCTGATTGAAGCCTAACGCGAAAACTGTGCGTATAATTGACGTGTCTAAAGTCAGCATCGCAAGTTTCGATTTTTGTTTTAATTAGTTGTGCTGCAAGTTGAGCGCGCGTTTATACGTGCTATAAATAAAAATAAAATAACTTTTATGAACAAAAAATCTATTTTCATTGTATATTTTTCGTGAACTTCAATGATCGCAGCACAACTAATTTTTAAAAAAGTCTAAACATGCCCAGTTGACCTCAGAGACGTGTATAATAATTGACGGCATCTTAGCAAGGTGCGTTACGCAAAAAAAATAATGTTTTTAACACTTTTTACTATCACAAAGGCATTTAATGAATGCTACTACTCAGAATTAATTAAACCGTTCCAATCAATTATTAATCATATCATCGTACCAGCGTCAAAAATTATATATTCGTAGCATCTCCGATCAATTTTGACTAGTTGAACAATTCCTTATCACCTGTAATACGCTATTTTACGTCACATTTGCTTCGATGACTAGTACAGCATTAAGTACTTAGTTAACGTGTTAAAATTCCATACTACATCTCTTACTGGCAACATCGAGTATCGACAGTGTTTCACGTTCTAACGTCTTCCGTCCGAAAAGAAAAACAGCTTTCTAGATTTGAAGCAAAGGCTGGTCTGTGCAAATCGCATTTATGCCGTATTTACAAGATGGAATAAATTTATCAGGACGGATATTTACACTCATTACCTCGCATCCCTTCGTTATAACGATGTCTCCATGTTCAGGTTTGCCCACTTGTTGTTCTCCGTTCTGTAATCCTCGACTCTACCGGTGAAACTTCGACGGAAGTTAGAGTTACCTTTATCCGGTTTCATCCGTCGTTCCGTGAACGAACGGGTTAACTCTCCTTTGTTCGTCGGACTGAAACCATTTGTAGTGATGATTCTGCCTACCGAGTTCGCTTCGTCAGCGAATTTCTCGGCGTGAATAGGCATTGAGCCTTCGTACGGTGGAAAAGACGCTCCGTGCTGATAAACGCGAACCGATGTTTGATTTTTATTGTTGAAATCTATGTCGTCGACGGCGTCCGTGGATGTTGAAAGAGCGTATGGATAAGGGTGTTGGCGATCGGATGGACAAGTAAAGGAAGAGGGATGGGAGGTGTCTGGGTAACGTTGACGTCGGAATTCTTGGTACCGACGTCGGGTCGATTTCCGGTCGCACGTTAAAGATCGACTAAGTTGAGTGAAAACTGTATGACCTGAGGACTCTTCGGTAGAGGCAGAATCCACTTCTTGTCTTGTCTGCACTACGTTCTTTCCTTCGAATGGATCTCCGGGGCAAACCTCTTGTATCGGACTCGCGAATATCAGGGTCCTGTCGGTGAAGCATTAATTGTTAAAAATATGAGAACTATGAACCATTATACATTCAGCATTTCTTGCTCACTTGTACATTTGTATTTTTTTCATGTCTTTTTTTGTACTTTGTCTAAAATATATAAAGTTTGACGAGATAAGAGCCGTTGGTCTGTTATCCAAAAGACTCCCTATTGGTTCCGATAATGATCGAGGTTTTACTGTATAAATCTCACCTGGTATTTTCACGCTTCAATTCCATCTCTTCGTCCTTATCCATAGATATATTTCCCAAGAATTGTTTCTTCTGTTTGCCCAAAGCTCCATCTAAGCTCTCTTTCGATCTCGACAACAATTTTCCTTTGATGTTTACCGAAGCGCAAACTGGAGTGCAACCCTCGTGATACGACGATCGATTCTCCAAGCGTCTTTCCACATCTTCGTCTTCTCTGTCAGAAAGATTTTGTAGCTCTCGTGCACTAATAAGAGTGTATCTCCGATTATTCTGTTTGAGTATCGACTTCAGACAATAATGCGTCTTCGAATCCGTAATTCTCTCATTCAACATAGGATTCGCAATCACTCTACTTCTGTTGCTTATTCTCTTTGGTATCGCGCCTCTGCTCGCACTTGGATTTCTAGTTCTCGAACTAGTTTCGTCAAGGGAACAAAGCGAGAAGCGGAACTTCTCCCCCCTGCTTGATTCACTGATCTCACCCTGACTTATCTCTCCTATTCTATCATCGACGTTAAATTCTTCTTCGCTCTCTACGATATTTCGCAAACTTTGTCCATTTATTCTAAGGAACCTCGTATCGGTCTCTGTCAATTCCGACCTCGATCTGAGATTCGGTTCAGACATATCTCGGGGGATTGTACAACTCCTCGTATTGACTCGGAAATTCCGATAGCCCCCTGCCGCGCTGGTCCCAGGATTTTCCATGTTACACTCGCTTCTCGACATCTCTGAATTTTCTAGTTGCGCCTCGACCAAGAATCTCCCGCAACTCCCACATTTCCCGGACTCTGTTTCGCCTAGCAATATGCAACCTGGGGGACGCGTTTCGTTCAACGGTTGCCCGGTTTGATCGCTCGACTGTTCTTGCCGCGACCCTTCTTCTTGCACGTTCATCTCAAAACCGGAAGTGGCGGTGATGTGACAAGGACAGGAACATTCACGCGACGACAATTGATGGCATGGATCTTGGTTCATTTCCTGGTTTAATACGTAACTTTGCTCCGCTCGCTGGTACAGTAACGCTTCTGAGTAACTCGGTACCATTTCTGTTATATCCGCGTCTTGCGTGTCCGGTTGTGATCGATCTGGTGCCGGATCCATTAGGAGAGCTTCGCTGTAACTAGGCGCTAGCATGTAAGAACCGGGCTGGTTGATGGTTTGTTGACTCATGGATGCTTGGATCGGTTCACTTCCACTAGGCGTGTCATAATTAATCCCAAACAGTTTGGTAATCTGTGATCCAATCGATTAGTGAGACAATGTTTTGTACTGATGAAGAGGGAATCCTTGCAAATAGAAGTGATTCGTTACCTGATAGTCAGCATATTGTGTTTTGTACTCTATGATCACTCTTAAAGGCCAGCTGAGTAAGAGAGCGCTTAAGCACCAGTAGACGTAACGATTGGTGAACCATGGGGAGCCGAGAACGGCTACCAGAGTGGTAGGATTTGGATTATATCCAAGATCAAGGCCTTCTCTCATTTCCATGTAATCGTCTCTTAACTCCTTGATAGAATAGTATGTTTGATTTAATGTAATGAATCAAATCCAAGGACGGTCCTTAACACTAGATTACCGGAGCGAGTCAATTTGACTCATTGTTCAAGATTCGCAATTCAAGTATCATGCAAAAGAAATAGAAGTAAGAGATATATTATATGTAAAAATTATTTTGAATAAAGTTTCTTTAAAATAAAATTTTATTTTTTTAAAAATCTTCTATTTTGATGTTTGAGGTAAAAAAAAACTCATTTCAGGCAAAATAATTAATTATTTTGCCTGAAATGAGTTTTTTTTTACCTCAAACATCAAAATAGAAGATTTTTAAAAAAATAAAATTTTATTTTTTTAAAAATCTTCTATTTTGATGTTTGAGGTAAAAAAAAACTCATTTCAGGCAAAATAATTAATTATTTAATTAAGTATTTGCATGTATCATACTTGTTCCGCGAAAAATCTCGATCTAGCTTCCTCGAATTCCGTAGCCGATCTCATATTCGAAAAAGCGAACCCTTTGGTAAGATTAATTTTTGTAATCGGCACCTTCGGGTCGAGAATCAATTCTTTGCTGATATCTTTAACGCCGCAGAAGTCATAGTAGTAGAAGGATGTAGCAGCATGCGTGTTTATCCGCTCGTAGTACACCTGAAAATGGAGAATTGTCAGGAAAAGGAATAAATGGAGGATAGATGGGCCATTGAGCGAAACGAATCACGATAGACTACTTTGGTCCAGGTCTAGTAACTAAGCCATAAGAGAATCAAATTAAATTATAAGAATTAGCTGCATACCTACTGACCTCCCTATTTTATATAATATTTCATGCCAGTGTAAATCACTGGCTTATTGTTAGTGGGATAGAAGATTAGTGGTCTACGAATCTATTACAAGGAAAGATAAAAGAGTAGAAATTGGGACGTGAACCGAAATTAGGACATTTACCTTAATAGTGGAATTAAGCGAGGATTAAAAAGAGAGAGGGGGTGAGAGAGGGAATGGTCCATCTGTCCTCGCCCAAGGTTCAGTGTGGCTCGCGCGAAGCGTATCAACGATTTACCATCCCGCGATTTCCTTTCGTCTGGATTACGAGATATGCGTTGCACGTTGCGCGTTATGCGTTACCTGCGTCGTCGTGTAATTGTCTCCGTTTCTGTACCGGGTAATTTGACGTTTACGGCGCACGTAATGGTAGGAAACGGCTTTCCACCAGATGGTCGGCTGTGCCGATTTCAACTGCGATATCTTCGAAAGTACGTTATCCTGACCCTCCGCGTGTAGAAGGTCGATTCTGATCGGTGAATGATAGCACTCCACCAAGTATACTAGGTATAGCATACCCATGAACGCTACCTGAAAGAAAACGCGATTCTTCATAAAAGAAAATCTTCAGTCTCATCCACTCCCGTCCTTTGCTTCCCTTCAACAGAAGTTTCAAGACACAGCCTTTAAATTAATACTCAGGGTTACAGATAAATGATTAAATCTTTAATTCAATTAAACGACAATTAGCAAATGATGTTTTATTTTTTATTCATATTTGATTAATTAAGAATTAAAATTATTTAATTACTTTAATTGGATGAAATTCGAATTAATTAATTGTCGATCGAGATTCAGAGAAATTCAATCATTAATGTCAAAATGCAACAGTTTAAAACCCTATCTATAATTGAGAGTTCCTAAAAATTTCAGTCCATTTTCCTGTATACTCACGGGGATGTAAATATAGCCATCCTCACAGGGAGACACGTGTCTCGTGTTTATCACTCTGTATTCCGAATAATTGAATACGACCTACGAACAATTACCACTGAAGAAATCCCGCACTTTTTTTTTCTCAACGGACGATCAGATGTCTTTTTCATTGCCCGTATTGGATTTTTGCTCATGCAGAGTAGCTAAGCGACGTACCTTGGTGACATTCGCGCATCTACACCACGTCACTGCGGCAAGGCACCCGTATATTAACACGGACAGCACCAAACATTTGCAATTCGGCTCTTTTTGCAACGTCCCGCAAAAGGTTTGGGAGACCGGTCGCTGCTACAAAGACATCATCGTTCAGATAGAAATAATATCATTAACATATCTGAATGTTCCAAATTCTGTTAATGTCACAAATTCCTACACACTGACTTATGATTACATATAAAATGATAGATAAAAAGGTCAGCAAGTAGAAATTGTTATGTGAACTGAAATTTGGTCATTTACTACAGGAAATTTAATATAAAATTATTGAAATCAAAAAATAGAAGACTAATGAATTTAACAAACGGCACGTACTTCGTTTTCTCGATTCATAGTTCAAACAATTCAACCCAGGTACTCTCAAATGTTTTCTAATCGAGGTTCCAATACTCTCATTTCACGATCACGCCTGCTTCTTATTTATTTCACCACTGGCCTTTCTGCTGCAAGAGTTCAATTATGTATTCATTTTTATAAATCTTAATAATCAATTTGAAATATTTATTTTGGACGTAAATGAACTCAAGGAAATTCATGTGTTTTCGAGTACTAAATAAGAGATTGCAGTTCTTTATAAAAAATAGCAGTACTTGAGGGATTTTCCGTGAGGAAAATAATTTTTCAAGTACAGCAAACCGAGTCCATCGTTTCTAATTTAGCAATTTTCCGTCCCTTCCAAGACTCAGCCTGGAGTACCATCGTTCCCGCCTTTTAATTCCGCAAGCAGTTTTCATATACATATACATCCAATTACTCTCTCGGGTCCGTCTGCTAAATAACGAACAGAACCCCCGACCATTTCGATCGATTTTGATCAAAACTAGTCGAACAATGTCAAATGTATTCTCCATCCACTTCCACGCAACTATGTATGTCTCTCGTAGAACAAAAGTAAACCACATGCGAAGCTTTTATTTAAAAAAAAAAAGACATATTTCCGAGTAACGATGTTTGCTTTGATGTTATCCGCGCTCAAAGGTTAGCCATTAGCTGTTCGTGTACGAAGAATCGTTCATCCCAAGGCGAGGAATAAAATCGATCGCGTTCAGGGGGATAGAAAGTAGGGTAGCGAAGAGTAATTGTCGTCAAAAGCCATCTACTTATCGTACATTTCGCTCGTTTCGTCACGGCGTTCTTGACGGGCATCCTCTCCAGCACTCTTGTTTCCCATTTCACTTTCGTTCTTTCAATTCTCGATTTCCTTTCCGATTTTCGTCGATGAAACTCTTCGGCCTGATTGAACGAACGATTCTCTTAAATTACATGCCTCGCGCCGATGATAGACAGCTTCCATTCGAATGAGAAGTTATAAAAGCGTTGGGAAACTGTTTTCGAATGGGTGAAACGGAAGTCGAGGACGCTCCGTCGGTCGCGCGAGCGTCAGCCGCGTCCTGACGCGCCCCTCGTCTTACTTTCGGCTGGATCCACCCCGATGGGCTAACTGATACCGTTGTCGTCGATACCCGGTGCTCGCGGACGCGGCATCTCTACTGACACCCCCATCGCGCCGTCACGACGGCGTCCGTGGCCCGAGGCATCGCGTCGCGTCATTCTGGCGTCGGCGCCCTTCGCGAACGGGATCCTCGCGGCTGCGCCCGCTTCCGCGTTCCTGAGTCCTCGAGTGGCCCGCTTTTGTCTTCCTGCCCATTCACTTACTATCCTGCGACGCCAGGACGACGCTACGCTCGCAGCAAACCCGACCATCTACTAGCGTTGCACGAGCGTAACATAACACGTTTGTAACGTTGCAAAAACGGAGGCGGGTCAAAAGCTGTTACGGTGTTCGGAAAGAAGAGTGAGAAAAACTGCTCTTCTAGATAAGTTTTAAATAACTACTTAAGGGTCGAAGCTCGCGTCGAATGAGCATTTGCAAGAATTGGTGAAGATGACGCGCGGCCATATATCCGGAGATTGTCTATTGATATTTTTTGATAATTGTTAATAAGTTTTATACATTGTTAATGAGAAACTTAATCACAGACATTTCCTTTTCATCAAATCAGAAAAGGAAATCTATTGTGAATACTTAATTCTCTTCCTTTTCTTATTAACACGCCTCTGATGTTTTATACGATGCAAACAACTATTTATTGAAATAATTAAAGGGAGCGAGAAGCATCAAAGTTCTAGGGGTCGTTATGACGACGAAAATTACGGGTCGTGTCCCCAATCTTTTCAGAAAAATTTAAAAGCCTCCGAGATTAAATTTCATTATATATGCGACGTGACTCTCGTACTTCGTTATCCGTCAAGAATCTACGTCGTCGCAATTCATCGCAAGATAGGGAATTCAATTTATGGTATGACATAAAATATGTATTTCGGCATTAATATATTTATTGAAATAGAAATTACTGCAAATTGTTCCCAATTATTTTTGGTAAATTAATTTCTACATCTTATGACAGTCATAAAAGTTTTTCTGGATGATTTCATCAATGTTGCCCTACAAAGATAGTAAATATCAATTTTGTTTCGAATCAATCTAAAGCAGACAAGCGAAAGAAAGTCAAACAGAGCTGGGAATTGAGCAAACATGTCCACGCATATAAATAAAGGTCTCGTGTGCGAAATCTAAACGTGCCCAAGGAATGGTCATCCTTTCCTTTTCCAACGAGTGACATCGGTACACAATTAATTGTTTTATAGTTGACGCTTTCTAGAGAGCCTCGAGAATAAACTATTTATAAGCAACTGACTAACAATAACAATGGGCCGCACACAAAATCTCGGCGGGCCGCAGTTAAGCATGACTGGTTTAGAAAGTGTAAGTGCACTTGATTCTTATCGCGTAACTTTTCGGACACCCTCTATTCGCAATGTGGCCATCAGTGGATAAAGGCACGTTTCGGCGCCGTCTCGTCGCCTATCTATTGATTGCAATTTGAGATGATGGTAGACGAACGAGCGCGCATGTATCCAACGAAAGTTTGTGCCAGCATGTAGAGTTCGAAGAGCTTCGAAATCCGTTCTCTCACGGGAGATCAAATCCTCTGGATTATCCCGACGTCAGCCAGACCCATCGTACACGTACAGGCCAACACATGAGTACCGTGTAAAATCCATTATAAGCAGAACTCGTTCTAATGATAGGAAAGTAATGTCTATGACAAACATTTTCTGTCAGGGTTTCGTCTGTATTACTTTTGACAAAAACACTTTATATCAAGAAATACATATTTTCTACATTAAAGGCTTTTACTTAAAGTGTTGAAATAATTGCAATTAAACATGATATTTACTTTTACATTCTTCATGATTTCGGCTAATGGAAATTTTTTTTAAATTCTTTTTTACACATTATCTAGAAAACTAACTTTTCTAACATTAAAAACAAATTAGTTTGATTGGTGGTTATTCTGGTTGAAAACGTGTTGATAAATTTGTTGGTCCGCTCGGAGTTTCAGAGAAACAATCAGACTACAGCGTGAGCGTGGCTTTCTTATTAAATGCTCAGGGTATCCTTGAACGAGGATAAGTAAGTAGGTCTTCAGGCGCCGGTCAGTCGGCGCGTAGGACGCGCGTCTCAATCTCAGGCTCCACGAGAGAATTTCTAAACAGGGAAAGGGGAATACTGGAATTAATGATACAATATTACACTCGTTTCACATGGTTATTGAAAATTCAAAAAATTGGTTTTTCACGAGATGTGATGAAGGCAAAGGGGAATAAGTAATTCATCTGGTTATTTTGACATCAACTTCAATAGAAAGGGCAATTTTCTAAGTTTCTTTGAAAGATGAAAAAATAATCTCAAATCTGAATAATGATATTCTAGTTGGTAATAAATCTTTAATACTACTCTTTATCTTCTTTTAGACGAGTCGCAATTATTACGTCTAAAAATATATTAAAATTTATAAAAATCTATAACATTATAATATATAAAAATCTATAATATTAAAATTAATAAAAATTTATAAAAATGTAGGAAGCATTAACACTCGCAAGTCTAAATAATTTCTGTTGTATAAGTTGTACGATTTAAATTCTATCTAAATATAATATGTACACACGTTAAATTGAGATCCGGGATACGATCTCATTTTTTGGACTTTAGCCAAAACCGCATTTTCTCTATAGTTCGAATCCTTGAATGTATAGCGATTGGTATCAAGGATTCTGAACACGTCACAGGATCATGTCTAAATAATGTACAGCTTGAGACAATGATTCCTGACCCGTTTTCGATTCCACTTCTCTCTTAATTTGAAAATGTGTAATTAAAATCTAAAACAATATTAAGGATTCAGTTCTCAACTGATTTTTGAGCAATTATAGAAAATCTTTTAATATTTAATCAAACATATTAATCGATTATTGAAAAAATGTTGTTATTATATTTTCGGATCTTCTTCCGGGACACTGAGGCGATCAAACACGGGTCGAGAATCATTGCTCCAAGTTTCGTGCATCGTGAAAAGCCTTTACTATTCCTCTTTTAACAAGTGTCACGTTTCCTAAACATTCATCAAATAGATTTTTTACCCATCGCTGTTCGTGGCGAGTGTCGAACAGCTGATTAGCGTGTCCCTAATTATGTAGTCGTGAAAGGTGACGTATTTAGGTCAGTACCCTTTTATTTTGCTCCCGGCAACATTGTCTAAACTGCTCGGCATGTAGCGTCGGGGGTTGATTAAAATCAACCGAGACTTAATTAGGCCGGTATCATTAGGAGAGTAGGCGAGGCACTACTCGATCTCGATAACGCGTCTCTGCTTGGTCAACAACTCATTTACGTAACAAATTCTTTCTCGGTTCGTGGAGATAACTACGTATCCCAGCTCACCAACTCAACCTTGTGGAAGGCTTTTTTTTCGGATCGTTGGAAACTCATCCTCGTCGGGAACAAAATGTTTCACAGGAGACATATTTAAAAAGGAAATCATTCTCGGAGTTTATATCTTCGAGCTTTCGAGCCTCCAAGTAGGATCTTTTTTTGTTTCTTGAATTTCACATGGTTTTATATGTATTCCATGTTGATTAGCTGATTTGTTCAAACAAATTTCAACAAGTTTTCCAATTGTTAGTACGGTACGCGTAGGAGGCACGACCTTAGTGAATATTTAACGATCAATCCTCGAGCACCAATCAGCGAGATACGAATTATTCAGTTCATGTTGACAGCGTGATAAATGGGAACATTTACCTTGCCTTTTTCGGATTGGCGTTTTGCTGAGCAATTTATACATACTTCTTCGATCCGAAGCAAAATAGTAGGTGTCTCTTTGTACATAAACTTATCGGGTTTTCTGTCAACAATTTTTTGTACCCATTGCTTTCGTCTTTTTACATCGATTTCTTCTAATACTTCATTAAACTTCTAATAAAATCGAATAGTTTGTTATGTAAAAACGAGAGCATATGATCTGTGTAATCTGTTGACTGTCTCTTGTAAACAACATGTGTTGATGCACTCTCGCACGGATTGCGCGAAAATGGTACAGGCTCTCCGATTGTGCAACGGGGCTCATTTGAACGGAAAAAGCCAATGATCGGTGTACTGTGACTAATCGTTGCCTGCTGGTAGCCTTGTCCATGAAAAGGTGGTGCAAGTTGGAGCGCGAATAATGCGCATGCATGCATTTTGTATTTATAGCCGCTACCCTATCGCAGCGAAAATTTAAGTGGCTGAAATCTCTCCCTTCGGGGATTTCACTCAGCCAACATTATTAGAAGATCTTACCGATCAAATCAAACGTCGTACCTGTCAGAAAAGTATTCGTTTAATCTTAAACAATTTATACGTCTTTTATTGAGTTGTAAGCATATTCACTGTCACGGTTTCGCCTGCAATACTTTTGTTTCGATGAAAAATAATAAAATTCATTTTTTAATTGTTGTTTTATTATAATAAATATTGTATGAAGGGATGATAGGGTCTTCTATTAAAAAATTTATTATCGAATTCAACGATAGGATTATACCGAGAAATGCGTTATACCGAGAACTACAGCTACGAAGATCTTATGACTTGTCGCCATTAGACTTCTTTTGTAGGGCCATGTTAGGTCTCTTCATCAAATTGAAGAGATATTGCAAAGCAAAGAAAAACATATTTTATCCTATTTTCACTCTCAATAACAAAATATCGCAAAATCCAAAAATTGTTTTTTGTATTTTTATATACTGAAAAGAAATATTGGATAACAAGGAAAAAATATTTTACCCCACTTCAACCTACAGGGATGGAATTTTGAATATCCTCTTTTAATGAGCAGCGACAACATCGACGAGCGATAGGATAGTTTTTGCTAGGAGTTGATGAATGAGTTTATGATGAATTTTCGACGTAAGATAATTGAAATTCAATTACGGTAATAGGATACTAAATGGAATTACAGGAAACATAAAGAAAAGCCTCTACATTCCGATTGAAATGTAATTTTATTCTCATTAAATATATTAATCGTATTACACGATTCGAAGTATTGCCTTTCACATTTCATCTGAAAATTACAAAAAAGCTTGATCGCGATCGTCAGACAGAGTCAAAAGAGAAGTCGCCTGATAGAAGTAGAATAGAACGAGTTATGTACTGAGTCTTACTTAAGTCTGTATGTCGTGTTTGTGTATACATGTGTGAATGAATCGACGCTGCAATTGACAGAGAGAGAGAGAGATAGAGAGAGACTCACGTCTCCGGCTCTCGATAAATCCATTCGCGGTATATATTTACACAAAAATTCATAAGGACCCGAATATTATATAAAATACGTATTGAACTGTGTATTGCTAACGATCCTAATAAGTAGTCACCAATGATCTCTTTAATGGACCAAATCATACTGTTGAGAGATTAAAAAATTACAGTGTCGAACGTGAACAACTTTGAACTACAAGTCTCGTCCCGTAATTAAAAACCATTTACAAATAGTTGGTTCGCAGTAGAAAATGAGAGATTCAAAAATAAATATACGAACATCCTTTTTGTCGAATACGTTTGAAATTTTGCCGCACCGATGGTTCTGAAAGAGAAGAGATTCTTCTTCCTTTTATATTAGATAGAGATTTCTGTAGCTTGTCATAAAATTAATAATTGTTTATCGCCGCTCGTATCAAATTGGAAAAAGGCAGACGAATTTAGTCGTGCCCGACGACGTGGCTCAGCCAGAACTAACACGTTCATGAGTTACGGACATACGATATCGATAAATATAACATTATGTATATATATATAATATATTAGTATATAAATAGCACGATCCTTTACACTAGAATACAGGGTATATATACATGTTACATGATGGATGGAGTCTTCTGTAAATAGTTTCCAGCGGAGCATCAGAGTCCTCCATAAACTCCGAAGGTTTACTACTAATTTTTTACGTTTCAATCCTCAACGAGGACACGCACTCGTCTCAGGAACCATTCTTCTTCTTCTTCTTCTTTCTATATTGTCCTTGCTCGTCGTTCATAATTATGTTTCCTTAATTGCAAAAGTAGGAAAATAGCGAGGGACGTTCTTCCGCAAGAGTCTAAGAGACTGGAAGGTCTGTCTTTGGTGAAAAGGACGGAGAAATGATAAGCAAGTATCGAAAGTTAAATTCAACCGATGATGAAGTTCGTCGAAAAATAAACAATTCACACATTGTCTCCTTTGTCGGTGAAATCCTTCTTCGAACGTTGCACAGAAGACTATTTCTAATAAAACGATGAGATAGTTCAACTGGATCGTTGAACTAATCGTTGGATTCGCGTTCGTATATGCGAACCGAGTCATGATTGGTATGGATTGTTCACTGCTGGTATTGATTTCGATATTTTTTAGATTTTTTCTCCGACTCTATCGTATCAAAAATTCTGAAAAAATCAAAGATATACTACTATATAGTAGTACATGTGAGAATTTTTTCAGATCTTTATATCGCAAATTAAAACAGAAAAAGTTTCTCAAAACAGTACTGTAAATTTGAACATTGATTCTCATTGAATTTAATAATTTTATTTTGCACGTTGCAATGGATTAAAAAAATTCTGAAAAAGTCAAGCATGTACCAGTATATGAATAGTATAAGTTAGATTTTTTTCAAATTTGCGGTGAAATCCTTTTTCGCGTCGTTCAACTGATTAAGTACAAAATTTTATTCCACGCGAAGGAGATAGAAACTCAGGGCTCGTTCTCCTCTTCTTAAATAGCTGATCGCAAATCTGAGATTGCAAAAAATAACTGGAACATGTTTCGTTGACATCGCGTTGTCTTAAAAAACATTCAGAGCGACTAGATTCTTTCCTCTCGTATTATACAGGGATCTTCGGTTCTGGTTCCATTCTCCAGTAGAATAATCCAACGTTGGAACATGTTTTCAGCGGATGTCACGCAGTATTTCTATCTCTCTCTCTTTTTGGGTGAGATATTTCAACTTGATCGTTGAACTAATCGTTGGGTTCGTGTTCGTATACGTGAACTGATTCACGATCGTCACGATCAGTATGGATCGTTCACTGCTGATAACCGTTCGCTTGGTTTTGACCATCTTGGCTATCTATACTGTAACCGGTTATGCTATCCGGACTCTGCAAAGACGCTGCGTAGAGTGGATTCACCGGCGTCGAATTAGTGTCGAATTGGGTCGAGTCATAGACACTATGATTCTGTGAACAGAAGAACAGTTTCTGGATGCAAATCTTAACAGCAGGATCATAAAAATTTCCACTTACTTTGCGTAAGAAAATTTATCTATGGATTACAAGAATATCGCTTATTTACTGTAACAACGATACAATTCGAAATCCGTGGTTTTAAAATTACAATCTGAAAACGGATTTGCTTCATGATTTCAAAAATGTATCATTGTTATAGGAAATGATCGATAATGCGAACTAAAAAGGTATTCATTATCCGCATAGAATATAAGTGCCTGCAAGCTGAGTGCAAAAAATTCGTACATTTTTCCATTTTCTTATGAAAAGCGTATGTTGTAAGGGACGTGTTTGATGTAAGGGACGTGCCGCTTGCAAAAAAAAAAAAACATTAGCGTTATTTACTGGCAAATCAGTGTGAAGAAATAAAACGAAGTGCATATCTACATTAACGAGTTTAATTAAATCTAAACATGCTGTAATATACAAATAATGAAGTATCTTGTCCTACTTTTTACACTATAATACATTTCCATACAATTGTTTAACAGACACGTGATATATAGACTTCAGCTCTGCTTTAACTCATAAAACAACAATTAAAAACTTTCTTTTTATATACAGTCACATGACTTAAAACTGAACTAATTATTACATTTACAATGAGTCAGTCTGAGTATAAGATTTAGTGTGCGAGGAAGAAGAACCAGAATCAATTCCAGCGTTTTGCTGATCTTTATCAACGCTCGAGCTTGTCATAGACAGTAAATAGTCGTTTAATCCACCAGACTCTACTTGCTTCGCGTCTTTCTTCTTTCGGCTTGTATACACTTGTTCGTTCGCTAATGGACGAGGTTTGAATATTAAATGATCTATAGCATTTGAAACGTCCATCTGATCAGTGTCTTTAGTCTCAGAAATTTGATTATCAGTATACTGTTTTGAAGAACTTGATTCCTCAACGTTCTGCGTGTTTCGCGTGACACTACTCTCGTTCAATGACATTTCTTGACTAGGTGTACTGTCTTTCACTTCAGAACAGTTGAAGTTGCTATCCAAAATAGATTGCAACGTATTCTCTAACGGTGGAGTTTCAAGAACCTGAACAGATACATTCTCTTCTAACTGTTTTCGATCTGAACTACTCTTTCTCGTCAAAGAGAATAAGTTAGTACTACTGTCGTTTACCCCGGGCTTGACTAAAAATTTGCTAGCAGTGTCTGGTGAGAAAAATAAGTTTGAGACACTACTAGGTCCACCGTATTTGAATTGCGACGTAGATTTACTTTTCCAGGTGGTGTCACGTATGCTTTGTTTCGTATCGATAAAATTATCGGATTTAGTTCGGGAATAATTGTTAAAATCAAAAATGCTTTTCTCTGCGCTCAAGCGTCTAGTAAAGCTCCTAATGCCGGACGTGGATCGGTATAACGCGGTTGACGAGCCATAGGTACGTCCACTACTGCTTTTAGTGGATGTTAAAGAGTGCAAGGAGGTTTTACGCTTCAAGGGGGATGACGTTGACGCTTGCGAGTCGTATAAAGGCATGTAAATAGATGGAGTATGGACCTGATAAATATAATCGCTGTCTGTTTTTAACGATGAGAAGCTCTGCTGATGTGGCAACGATACCGTGTCTTCGTCCATTGCGTCGTCCACTTGCGCCTTATACGAGAACATTATCGATGGTTGCGAGACTCTGCAACAAAATTTTTTATTCTACTTTTGCACGTAATTTCAATTTTTTTAATCAACTCATATGACTTACCCGAAAAATTCGGACAGGAATGTATGATAAACCAAAGGTGTAAAAAGGGTCAAGTAAACTGCTGCCGTGAAGTCTACAATGCATAGTCCTACAGGATTTTGTGTATAATTTAAAAAGCCAGCACCGATTGATTGTACTAGATCTAGCATGGCTAATGTACCAGCGTAAATGTAAAAACTTTTCCTTGCTACAACGAAAGACATTCGATAAAATATGTGGAATAATGTAAAAATTTCATGGAATATGTTCTGTCGACGTACTTGGAAGAGTTAAACGGTCTCGCAACCGTGTCCATGGCAGTATTAATATGAAAAGATATATCTGTAATAAGAGCGAGTTAAGTACTGGGTGTATTGAGTGAATGGTAATAGTACAGTAGAACCTTCGTTAAATGTACAATCATCATGTGAACATTCTATTATATGAATTTCTGTCCTATTTTTGATTGATACTGTACTGATTATGATGCCTATTTACCATCGTGAAAACAAGACTGCTGCAAAACCAAAACATCATTCCTCCATGACCAAATACATAAAAATTTCTACTAGCAATACGGAATGTATCATCTGGTAAAACTAGTTCCAACGTTCCTTGAGTTATAGTAAAAGCCAATGCTATTAACGAAGTAGCAAGTAACACCCTACGAATGCTTGAGCGACTGTCCAAATGTCCTATAAGTAAACATTATTATATTCAGAGTTTGACAAACTCAGATTAATAATATTGAAACTTACCAAAAGCCAAACCGAATATAACAACACTCATCTCCGTGGATAACAGAAAAAATCTTACTGTTACCCACAGTATTTTATCTGCTTTCCCACCGACAGTAGCTGCTGCGTTTACAGTCATCGAAACGACACATCTTATCACTGAAATTGCTACGTTACAAATGACAAGTCCATAAAATGCTAAAAATATTGGACTACTCGTTGCTCGTAATTTAAGCCGTGCCCTATTGAATCTTACTGCGATGAATAGAAGAAATAAGAGATTCGGTACCAATATGATAATGTCCCATATTCGTACACTGAAAAATGCAGAATTCACATAATAAAAGAGATAGATTTCTAAAGCAACGTATTATCAAAAGTATTCTTACCCTGACTCCTTGATTTCTTTGTACAAAATTAACTTGCAGAAGTGTTCCTCATCACTCACAGATGAACTGACATTAGGAATCATTGTACTGCTCAAATCGTAAGTGTGCAACCAACTTTCAGAGACTTCTTCACGCACAGCACCATACATATTTCTCGTTTTCTTGCACACGTTACGCCCGAAGCATTTTTCGAGTTTTCACTAGCGAATAAAAAAACGACGACACATGTCATTCTAATGTCAAAATGACACAATAAACATAACCTAAAATATTTGGCAGTATTCCCAAGCGCCGACCTTCGAACGGTCTAAAAAACAATGACCGATCCTGCATAATGACATGTAAACATGAAACTGAGACTTCCAGATAAAAGTAAATCTCTGTCGTTTAATCGACAAAATCGATAAGTGGGGAGTCAACTTGTAACTGTCAACACGATGATGCCATCCGTGAATCAGACGAATCGTATCACGATCTGATAGCAGGTTTGGACACTGTAAGTTGCACAAAGCGGACGTAAATGAAGCTGGCAATTCTACAAGGTGGCCTGCATGAGTAGTTCTTATGCATGCCTAGAAATGTACGCCGTAATCTGCCCATGCGTCAGAACTACCCATGCAGGTCGCCGTGTTGAGTTTGCGGCTTCATTTACGTCCTGTTTTCTCAGTTACAGACATCTAGACCTGTCTATACGATCATGAATTATATTATTCAAACTGATGAACGCTAATCGAATAAGGGCCTCGAGAAGATTTACGGGGACTCACCCATTATCTGCAGAAAATTATCGTTCTCATCTTTGCTCGAGAAAAATGATGATTACAACTCTCCGCTTTCCTCTTCACTGTGTCGCGTAGTTTTACATTCGTCGTTTGTGTGGAAATTGCTCCTCTGTCTCAGTTACACGTTCTTGTTTATTATGTTCCTTGTTCGTGCAGTCTTCTGGCCCGGTTGGCGTTTTGCTATGAAATTTCAGTGTCCATCCCTCTATTTCTCTTGCTTTTTTCCGCTCGCAATAACACCACACCGAGCCACAGAACAACGTATACTTGATAACCAACAGCAAGAACGTGTAACGATGCGCGCGTAACTGCGTACGAGATTCAATTAATTTTACGTCCTTATTAAATCTTCGTTCGCGCGATGAGAACGATAGTCCCGATAGCCAGCCGAAGGAAGGTGTTTCCAGGTGACGCCACGATTTGACGCGTATCATAAAGGCCGCGTTGACTTCTCTTCAATTTCAAACTTTCGAAAACTGCGTTGCACGCGATTAGATTACGGAAGAGTTCCTCGTTCGACGAACGCTTTCACTGCATCATTGCGAAGACGGAGACGACGGTGAGTCGAGTGTATTTTTGTTGGATAGGTTAGGTGTTGTTCCAAGGAAAATTACTTGGGATGGCCGCGAATCGCAGCTAAACCGGGAAATACGAAGCATTCACGGTCTGTTTCCTATACGCTCGCACGCTCTGTTTATAACTTCTGCATAACGAAAGTAGAGTTTCAGGTGTTGCTCACTATAGATTGATAGATAACGGAATAGTTGTAGTTATAACATTCGACGATTCTTTTCGCGAGTTCAGAATGATCGTCGATTATTCGAGAAATCTCTTGAGGGACGTTCATCAAAATATACCAGCGCCGGAAGCTGGCCGAAGTTCCTTAGTCCAAGGCCATTACGAGTACTGGCATTATGGTTGCGATGGTTTTAACGATAAGGTCCGTAATTTTGCTATTATCCAGCCATACTCAACCTATGGTCTGCCAAGGTTTTATGTGTAACCCGGAGTCCCTACACTCATAATTAACGTTGTAAAAAATTATACCGTTACATTTAAAAGAATAGATCTTCATACCTCCTTGACGCCTTCACCCATAAAGATTGATTCAGGTTTTATATTATTATGTACATATTGCGGTTCCGGGTTCGCGTAACGTAGCGTAGAAAAAGAAGGTCGAGTATGGCTGCTATTCTCTGTTTGGGAATAGCGTTTGAGAACTTAGATACATGAAATGTTGAAAGGGCTGGGGTTGCGGATACAGAACGTTACAAACTATCTGTTCGTGGATTGTAATTAATCGAAATGTGGACCGGTCTGTTCCGAGTATCAGACAAATACAGGAAGTGCTGGTCACGTTGGAAGACAAGGAACCATCTTTTATTGGCTCGAGAGAGTGGATAGGAAGTTTCGAAGTAAGCTAACAGTGAAAACTTGTATTTGTAGATATAGTTACTCTCATAAATACAGACGAGAAACTAATATACAATTTGAAATGATCGACAAACAACCGATTTCGTAGGTTTGTTTTGTGCTGAATCATTTGTACGAGGTTCTCAGTAAAATCGTACACGTCCGACATGGTAGAGACTTACGGAACGAAGTGGCTGTTATCAGGAGCCATTTCGAGGAATTTGGCAGCCCAATAATGATGGGAGGAGATAGAGACTGTTCTAGCAAGTGTGTGCTGGGAATTCATGAAAATCCGAAAAACACCTACTTGTTAATTCTTGATCCACATTTCGTCGGGCAAGCAACAGGAACAGAACAACTGGAGAATTATAATTGGGTGAAATGGCAAAATTTGGATGATTTCATCGATAGTTCATTCTACAATCTGTGCTTGCCTCAGATAAAATTTATAGACAGAGAGAATAAATAAACGTCTACAATAACAGACCTTAAAACATTAAGAAAGTACAAAGGAAACAATTAATATTCACAAAAGAAATTGAAAATGTCGAATTTAGAAGTATATAAGGGTACGCGGTGCCCGACGGCCATACTGCCACCTGACAAGGCTCGAACTTGCCTTCGGGCCGTTACCGCGCCCCTTGATATTTTATATCGATTCTTTACAAACATCTTTACAAACTATAATTATTCGTTGATAATTACTAAGCTACTACAATAGAATGCTATAATAATTATTAATGCTAGTCTGTATTTAATATCAAACACACCCCTTGTAATACCCAATGGGAAGTGTGTTCTGTCGTTGTGAGGTTCGCTTCGAAGACCATACCCTCCCCCATAGCGTTCCGTCGATTCGATGTAGTATACACTGGTGTTGCAAAAGTATTCTGTAATTGATAAGAGATCCTGGTAAGATTATGAATGAACTACAATAAAATTCAGTGATCTTCATTCCATACTTGAAGCCTGAGTCTATGAGCTTCCACTGGAATGATGACGAGTACTGGTAATTCTTCAACTAAAACTTTGGGATGCGACATCTTGAGGCATTGTTCTTGCACGTCCCATCTAGCACCCTCCAAATACAGTCCGCTTACGTAACAACCCTATAAAAATTTTCTTATAAAAATTGAATAATATATATTTCTCAAAACTAAATTAAAAATAAGCCGAATCATAGTGACCTGGTCAGGTCGTTCTTCTATTTTATCGGGCCTAGTATGCCTCGATACTGTCGTGTATATGACAGAACGATCCAGAGACCAACTGTTTCTACGACAAGCCATTTGCACAAGGGCAGCTAAATAAGTCTCCGGGATATGCAAACCTGCTAGCCAAACGACTATAGGCTCATTAGCACCAGACTAAAAATTGTAGTATGCATTAACAATATAAATATCATCTTTCGTTAACATTATTCATACCCAGTTGCTATACTGATTTATTCTTTTCTCGAAGTGTTCCATCCATCCAGCCAAGGTCTTTCTTGTATCTGGCGCTAATCTAGCCCACTCTTGTGGTAATATGCCATTGAATAATGCCGCTGATATACTTTCGAGGGTCATGTCCATTCCGATTTCGCCGGCAATAGCCTAATTGTAAAAGAAATATTAATAGAATACTTTTGCAAAATATGTCTAAAAAAATATGATTTTGAATAAAAATCGGCAGTCTAAAACAACTATTGTTAGTAATAGTAATTGCGATTGAATTCTTTTGCCACTTCGAAAGCGGTGTAGAATCTTATTTGATGACTAGCAAGAAGAAGGCAATGAGGATTGTGAAATTAATTCTGTATCTGAGAAGATGAAATGTGTAAAAATTTGCGCGAGACTCAATCAAGTCTCCTCGTTTCAAATGACACTTTATAGCGCGAGTTGCAACAGCGAAGCGTTTTGGCACACGCGTTTGTGAATTTGCTGTCAGCGCAAATGGTTAAAAGAAAATAGAAAGAAAGTTAGTAACCTTTCTAAGATCCGTTAAGGTTCTTTTCATCATGATAATTAGTTTATTGAACCTGTCCAACTCTTGGAAAAGAACAATCGCGGTTGGAGTTATCATCGGCCCGAAGTTCTTTCTAATTCTGACAAGATCGAACTCCACAGGAACTTTGTCCAATATTTCCTTAGCGATGTTGTCGATAAATTCTTCTTTACTTATTCCAGTCTCAGTTACCTCTAAAATGTATTCTCTTTGAAATTGTATAGGAAATAGATATAATTTGCATTCGTGGATAGAACTTACTCTTTTTATCCAGGTATACTTAAGAACAAATAAATTTCTACATCGTAATGTTTGGGATAAGTAGAAAATGAGCCTCGTCATATGCTTACCAGCTTGCGGTTGTAATTCTATAAGGTGGCTCCATATTTCTTTTGCCGCTAGGGTGAAATACCCAATTTCGGCGTTTGGATGTAGTCCAAATACCTCTGGACTATTCACCAACGGTAGCTCCGCGATGTACGCGATATAATCGTCGTACTCCCCTTCTGCTGGTATCACGTAATCGACACTCTCGTCATGATAGAAGTGGAACGGTTGAAAAACGTCGAAGAGGAAATCCCCGAAATATTCGTCCATGTAAGTGTGAGACACTCGGCGATCGTAACTGTCTATCACGCGTCCTCCGTACATTACCTAAGTTAAACAAAAAAAAATAGTTTTAAATATACTACTAAAAAAAATTATAGCATGACAAGAGTGTCGCCATCGAAAGAAAAGTCATCGTCCCATGATAATCTCTTCCTGACTAATCATCTTTCAAACTTAGACAATTTTCGACACTTTCGTCATGTTATATTTTTAATAATATAGATGATTCCAGGGATAGAGGCATCTATTCATATTGGAAGAAACTCACTTCTCCTATCAGATACTTCAGGCTGTTCCAAGGGATTCTGGTGTCATTCGCTGCAAGAGCTTTTGTCAAGTAAGTATCTAAAATAGTAGCGCAGACGTTAAAATCCGACTCGTTGAAGTCGTAACGTATATTCCACCCTATTTTATCGTATCTCCGTCTTTCCTATCGACAAAAGTCGAACGATCATTTAACTACAGTGGCAGATCGTATTTGATAAATTCTACTGCAACTCACTTGGACAACTGCGTGATAAAAGGCTAACACGTAAATCAGGTGTTTGTATGCAGGATGTTGGCAACTTTCAAGCACGTGAGGACTCATATTTAAATAAGTGTTCTCGAGATTCAATTTCAGCCCACTGGGCGGTTCCGTGACCACTGAATACAAATATCAATTGTATATTTGTTACGATACATATCATAAATCATTTATTGTTCTAAGGAACCTTTCAAGCATTGCTGCAATATTCCAATCGGGAAATTAGGGGTGGGATCGGTTGTAAGCCACAATCGGAAGTCAGGATGAGGTAGACCAACATTCTCTAATAGTTTCTCCAGATCTCTGGTAAAACTTAATAGCAAATGGCAATTTTGAAACATTAACCACTGGCCCCTAGACACTGCTATTTGCAGTAATTCTACTGCAGTCTAAAAAATCATAGATTTATTATAAAGGTATTCAGTATTAAAATCAGTACGAATATTAATGGGAGTGGTTGTAAATTAATGGCGGATTAGTATTAATTAATTGAAAGGAAATGACGTACGTGCTCTTGACCCTGGCCAAGGGATAGGTACTTAAATCTGCCACCTCCGCAGCCATATCTGTCTGCTAATTTCATTAGTTCCGATGTTGGATCGGATCCAGGGCTTAGAAGAAAGACGACAGGCATCGTCGGTGTACTTTGCTCGAAAATTGAATCGAAGCTAATATGGGGCGGAGTGATGTATTCTTCTCCCATAATTTCGCTAATGTAATCGATGATGCTTCGATAAACTCTGTCGACGCGGAAGCAGCGTATTAGCATCAGCTTTTCGAATGGGTTCAATTTGTCCGAGTAATTCAAAGGAAAGTTTTCGGCTTCCGGAGCGTCCATGTCGTACCACTGAAAAATTATAATTTTTTCTAGACAGGAAATTGCACTTATGGTAGCTCTTATTTACTCTTGATGAAAGTGTTTCGCGGCACCCCTAAGGTTGTTCTAAGTAATAAAAAATAATCTGTGCAAAAATACTACTACTATTACTATTATACGTACTGCTTGCCATTCGGCCGTTTGCGCGGCCAATTCTTCCGGAAGCATTACGAATTTATCTGGGAAATCAGTGCTCAACTTCAACAAATCCGTCCACCCAGCCGCGGGCAACCATTCCGTAGGATTGATTTTAGCTGCTTTCTCTAAGGCGATAGATCCTTTGATGAAGAAATCCAGTTCCTTCTGACTGACGTGCCCCTCGCTCTGCTCTAACTTCGTGCAGATTTGAAACGAGAACAACAATTTGTGCCTTTCGAAAATTCCCGTGCACCCGTAATCGTAAACATTTTTCGTCAGCATCGGTATGATGTTCTGAAGACGACGGTTCAACGTCGGATCTGGCAGCGCTTTTCTCAGCGAATAAATAAACACCTCCACGTAACTGTTCAACGAGTATTGATACATCGAATTGACCATCGCCATGTCTGCCAAAACGAAGAAGAGTATCGCTCCTCTCTTCGCCACCGACCGATACCCGTCCCGAAGTTTGTTCACGTCGGCAGCCGTCACTTCCGCGAGGTACAGTTTTCTCATCACCTCGTTCGCGCTAGATTTCGTGTTTTCGAGAGTTTCGATCAGCTCGATGTTGTCCAGCATGTTGCCCACGTTTGTCGCGATTTCACGAAGTAAACTATTTTCTAATTCCTGAAGAAGATTCTTGTTCTCGCTGGTCTCAGCGATTAGGCTCTCGCGTTGCTCTTCGACATCCGGTCTTTCTATCCGGACGACCACCGACAACAATTGATCTTCCAGTCCCTAGATGTTGTTTTTTATCTTACTAATATTGTATAAAGAGAAAGCTCTCGTAAAAAAAACGATTGAAATATTTGCATTGAAATTTGTACTGCAATTAGGATTTTATTTAAAATTAAGAAACGAACCCCTGTGGTAACCATGTAATTAATAACAGTCGCTTTGGCGTATAAGGCAGGATCGAATATGGGATTGGACATCTTCGTGGTAAGATACATTCGGAATCTCGGATCGTAATCGACTTCCTTATCGCCAAGTAGAATGAACACTCTACCTGCGGCAGCTGAAACACAATTTTATCATCAATACCCGTTTATTTTTTTAATTGAACATAAATTACTTTGTACATTCTTCGATAGAACATTGCCTAAAACAGGATCCACTTCGTCGACGTCTTGAAATAAGACTGGCAGACCATACTTTATTGCCAGTTCCACTTGCTTCAAATAATCTGTGTCCGTGAACGAAAGGATCTTCAAGTTCTTCTGTTCTTTTTTCTTAATCCAATTTAGAGCTTGTTGTTGAGGATCGATACAAATTGGGAATCTCGATGCTCTCATCGTGAGTATACCGTTTTGCACGGATAATTCATCTGGTGGCAAACTTTCGGACGTCCACCTTAAATAAATTACAATATGAATTTTTCTTCATTTCGATCAAATAGAACAGGAACGGAGAATTTCGGACCACAAGATAAAAATAGAACTTATTGCTGATTGATTGATAAAAAAGGTTCTCCATCCCTGAAATAGGATAAAGACATCTTACGTGCTAATTTCAACATCATTGCTCAGCTCCGTCTCAATTTTGAATGTATCGGTGAAAGGAATCTGTTTTTCCACTATACTGTTCCACCAATCCTTGTACAACATCTGATTTCTGTACTCGTATGAGAACGGCCCACAATAAGCAAGGAATCCAGCAGAGAGCAAACAGTTCCCAGTAATCTTCTCTATCTGCCCCTGAAGATTCTCCAATTCCTTTCTCCATCTTTCATTCTCAGAGGACAATCCGTTTATCAGCTTATCAGCAGCTATTAGACGCCTCTGAAGTAAATCCGTTTCTTCCTGCAACTTCTGTCTTTCCGCCATAGCGCTCTCATATTTTACGTTCAACTCTCCTATCGTTTTTTCGATTTTTTTCAATTCTCGTTCTTCTTTTTCCAAGTCTTTTCGAGCTTGTTCAGATTCCGCTTCCAGCTCTTTAACTCTCTCTATCTTTGGTTTTACCTGAAATAAGAAGTTTATAAAAAACTTTGTAAACCAATCTGTTACTTGCGTAAACCTCTTAACAAGAACCAGAAGCGAGTTAATATGTATAACTGTAAATGGGAGGGGAACCCTTAAAATCCGTAGTTACTACATTTAAACAAACCTCTCTGTAAACGGCGCAGTAATCGAGCACAGCTAATACGAATTTATACAATCCGAACCCAGCCCTGCTGATGAACTGCATTTGATCCAATTTAGTGGATTTCTTTAAATGCGCTCTGACTGCTTGTTGCTGCTTGAGCGTGATTTTCTCGCAGTTCATCTCTTGCAGCAGTCTTAAGAACGCTGGGTCGCTCATCATCCCCTTCGCACCCTTCCAAGAGATATCTTTGACGCCACGTAGTATTGCCACGCATTCTGAGACAATTTGGACAGCTTCAGGAGGAGTTGCGAAAGATCTGAATTTATTAAAAAATAACTCCATTATTATTTTTATATATGCTATTCAAAAGAATAATTTCATCACAAAATTTTTCTTGAAAATTGTTCAAGTACGTAATGATTTCTCAGCAGCCAATCATCGACCTATGGTCATTTGTTGCTGAACAATCATTCTCCGAAACTGGGCAATTTTCAATATAAATTTCGAGATGCTATAACTTTCTTGATTAGTGTATTTCAGAAGAAAAGATAGTAGACCTTATTTCGGTGATGTCTGCTTTATCTAATTCTGCAAGTGCTGCCTTAGCCGAGTCCAAGGCGGGTTGCGCTTCATCCAATGCCTGTTTTGCTTCTGATTGCTCTTTGTTAATGATTTTCCTCTTTTCCTTTATATTTATTCTTTCTTGCTCGCTCAACTCTTTCTTCTCCATTGCGATGTTTGCACTTTCTTCTATGGAGAATAGCAACTGCTCGCAATTTCTCGTTTGATCCGCCACTTTCACTCTCTGCACGGCTAGAATCTCATTTAACTCGTTCAGCGTCAAGGAAGCCTCTGCGATCTTCTGTAGACCTTTGCAATAAGAACAGTGCGATTTCATCTTACTCACAAATTATGAATAGACTGCTGCTTTTATGCAAAATAAAGTATTTATGATAGTAATTTTAAAAATTTGTTATAAACAGACATTTATTTTATATTTCAAACACTGTAATATGCTGTCTGCTTTTAATATTCTGTGTTTGCTCAATATTTTGGCTTGACTCCAATGCTCGACTGCCCAAAGATTTGGATGTGCCAAGTTCTCACTTGAGGATCGTGCTACTCGATATATCGGGTACTCGCACAATCCTAAAGTTTGTATGTATTTTCTGTATATTGAATTTCCTTATAATGCATAAAGTTCACAGTCTAATTATGATACTTAAAAAAATGTTTTCAAATAGAAAACCTCCAGAAAGTCGATCGCACTGCGAATTTATGTAATGCTTTGTGTCCACTAAAAGTGCCAGGTACGTGGTCATAAAGTCTAGGTAATGTTTAGGTGTTACGTAGTTTCTTCTTCGCAGTTTTAGTTGAAATTCCACTGTATAGTCGCAGACAGTTTTATGCACGAACACCATGTGCTCTACTATCACTTCTCTGTAATCTTGTGGCACGTTCGGATTCTAAAATGAGTTCTATAATGTTTAGATGATAAGTAACAAATTAAAGAAAGAGAATCGAATTGTTACATCTCTGAGAGTGACGTTAGCCACTGCTACCAAAGCCTGTTCAGGCCAAGGGAACATCCAATCTATGGTGGTACTGTTCACCAATCCAGGGTAACTGCGACATCTCGTCCTCAATAAATCTCCCTCGGGGCTCATCGATAGGGCAATTCGTAAATTCTCGAGACTCGTCTTCACGAAATACGACCATACATTTTCTCTGAAACCATAAACGATAGGCTTTCATACATTTTATTCTAAAGTTCAGTTAAGGTGGTTCCATTAAAATGCAAGACACTGCAGATCGTAATGAACATATCGGTACGGTTAAATATTCACGTTATTGAACAAATTTTGCAAATGAAGTATATAGGAGTCTATATACACTGAAGTACATGTTTAGATATTATTATTATTATGGTCATTTGTTGCTGAACAATCATTCTCCGAAACTGGGCAATTTTCAATATAAATTTCGAGATGCTATAACTTTCTTGATTAGTGTATTTCAGAAGAAAAGATAGTAGACCTTATTTCGGTGATGTCTGCTTTATCTAATTCTGCAAGTGCTGCCTTAGCCGAGTCCAAGGCGGGTTGCGCTTCATCCAATGCCTGTTTTGCTTCTGATTGCTCTTTGTTAATGATTTTCCTCTTTTCCTTTATATTTATTCTTTCTTGCTCGCTCAACTCTTTCTTCTCCATTGCGATGTTTGCACTTTCTTCTATGGAGAATAGCAACTGCTCGCAATTTCTCGTTTGATCCGCCACTTTCACTCTCTGCACGGCTAGAATCTCATTTAACTCGTTCAGCGTCAAGGAAGCCTCTGCGATCTTCTGTAGACCTTTGCAATAAGAACAGTGCGATTTCATCTTACTCACAAATTATGAATAGACTGCTGCTTTTATGCAAAATAAAGTATTTATGATAGTAATTTTAAAAATTTGTTATAAACAGACATTTATTTTATATTTCAAACACTGTAATATGCTGTCTCCTTTTAATATTCTGTGTTTGCTCAATATTTTGGCTTGACTCCAATGCTCGACTGCCCAAAGATTTGGATGTGCCAAGTTCTCACTTGAGGATCGTGCTACTCGATATATCGGGTACTCGCACAATCCTAAAGTTTGTATGTATTTTCTGTATATTGAATTTCCTTATAATGCATAAAGTTCACAGTCTAATTATGATACTTAAAAAAATGTTTTCAAATAGAAAACCTCCAGAAAGTCGATCGCACTGCGAATTTATGTAATGCTTTGTGTCCACTAAAAGTGCCAGGTACGTGGTCATAAAGTCTAGGTAATGTTTAGGTGTTACGTAGTTTCTTCTTCGCAGTTTTAGTTGAAATTCCACTGTATAGTCGCAGACAGTTTTATGCACGAACACCATGTGCTCTACTATCACTTCTCTGTAATCTTGTGGCACGTTCGGATTCTAAAATGAGTTCTATAATGTTTAGATGATAAGTAACAAATTAAAGAAAGAGAATCGAATTGTTACATCTCTGAGAGTGACGTTAGCCACTGCTACCAAAGCCTGTTCAGGCCAAGGGAACATCCAATCTATGGTGGTACTGTTCACCAATCCAGGGTAACTGCGACATCTCGTCCTCAATAAATCTCCCTCGGGGCTCATCGATAGGGCAATTCGTAAATTCTCGAGACTCGTCTTCACGAAATACGACCATACATTTTCTCTGAAACCATAAACGATAGGCTTTCATACATTTTATTCTAAAGTTCAGTTAAGGTGGTTCCATTAAAATGCAAGACACTGCAGATCGTAATGAACATATCGGTACGGTTAAATATTCACGTTATTGAACAAATTTTGCAAATGAAGTATATAGGAGTCTATATACACTGAAGTACTTGTTTAGATATTATTATTATTATTATTTCCTATATATAATGGATTTAATTTGTTAACAAAATCATAATTTACTTTTATAAACTATGTTAAACTAAGATTTTGGAAGTTCTTGTTATGTAACTTGATTTCAGAATTTTAATAGAACCACGTTAATCGTTTAAATAAGTAAATTGATAAGAGACTTGGTAATTCCGAAGCCAGCCTCCACCGCCTGATCTCTACAATTATTAATGATTTCCTCCTTGTCCTCGTCGGTAAATAATGACGGTACCACGCCAGTCATCAGCATGTTGTTCACCAGCTCTAAGAAACTCTCGTCAATGATATTAGCCGCAGTGAAAAGGAAAACGATTTTTTCATCTTCCACACCGACCATATTGTACAGATTTTTCATATCTTCGCGAAAAGTAGCCTCGTTGTAGCCTCGAGACAGACTAATTTCGAAGGTCCGATAGCCAGCTGCGAAGGCTGACAATTTAATCACAGACTTTTTCCCGCTTCCGCCGATACCGATCATTAGCACGTGGCCTCTGTGCATCCTAAGCGCTCGGTGTACTCTAGTCAAATGCTCGAGCGCGTCGTTGAAGAGAACCATTTGCAATTTGGTCACGTTCCTGTCGTTGTAGTCCTCGTATATCTGCAGGTGTCAAGTAATCAGAAATTTTAGTACGTAACTCGATTAATGAACAGCGTCATTAATCACCTCTAAGAACAAAGTATAGACAGCTTCGTAATCCAACAAATCTTCGTAGAATCGTGGTTCGTCTTCGTTAATTGCATTCCTGAAATCGCCGAACAATAGGGGATCCCTCATCACGTATTCTATCAATTCAGGGTCCTCTTCCCAGACCTCGTCAATCTTCTCCTTTATGTAATCCATCACAACTTTCTCGTCCTACAATCAGACAAACACATTTATGAAATACGACGATCATATGAGGTCACGTGATTATCGTAGCTCCTTGAATCAAGGAACTTTCGTCCCTTTACTTACTTACCTCCTCGTTTATCAGACGATCACATATGACTCTGATAAACTCGTTCCTCCAAAGTCTGATAATCTGTTTCACTGTCGACAGATAGTCAGGGTGACTCTGAAGTAATCCAGCCGTGATCCTCGACAAATCTCGCATGTTGAAAACGTAATGGAACCTATTCGGCGTCGGTAATAGCACTGCGGTTACTTTCTGAAAAATATAAATATTTTTATTCATTAATATTCTTTGACTATAAACAATCATTATGAGACTATTTATACACCTGATAAAGATCCAGAGTTATGTTAACCAAGGTTTCCAAGATTTCTTGCACTTCTTCTGCGAATATTTCTAGATGTCCACCCAGTATACATTTGTAGATATAATTAAGAGTTTCATCAGCCGGGAATATTACGTTGTATACAGAAAACATGGAGATGAACCTAGGATCCACCTCGTTCCTTCCTCCGCCAGGTTTTCCCATGGCTGCTAAATAGCCTGGCAAATTATTTATAAAGACAGTTCAATTTCATTCAGAAAATGTATGGACACATGATTGAAGAAATGATCACTTGTGGAAGCTTACACATGTCGTCCATGTATTTCAAAGATAGATCCTTTTCACGATCGTAAAATCCACCTTTCTCAAATAGAAACTTAAGAAGTGCGATAGGCTGTTGTGTGCCATAAGTGTCAACCAGAGGCATGTTCATGTCGTCGATGAAGACTAACAATTTTTTGCCAGGCGGTGGACCATAAATCTCCCTCGTTCTTTTCTCGACGACAGCTTCTATATTTCTCTGTACATCCATCGAAGTCGTTCTCGACGAAAAATTGATTAGAAGTTGATTCTGATTAATAGAACGATAGAAGTTAGCAAAGAAGAATTAGTTCACGATTAACAAGTACTGCGGATTTTTATTTATTTATTAGGTGAAAAAGTGATGGATGACTAATGCAAATCTTCTGATACGTACGTATTTTTCGGAGCTCAGATTTCGAAGAAATTCGTGAATTATGGCCGTTTTCGATGTGCCGGTCTCGCCAACGAGAAGTGCCGGGCGATTTCGTCCGTTCATCATTTCGATGAACCACGTGGTTCTGAGGGTGTCTATGGTAGGAACCAAAATTTCTGAGAAACGTTTTTCTCTGTCGTGCACGTAAGCTGGAATCACAAGTCTCCATGGCACCCAAATATTCTTTTCCAAATCCAAGAAGTAATCATATAGCAATTTATCCGTTACGGGGATGTATCCTATGTGCAATAAATATTCTATTAATCACCGATTCACCATCAGAGCTGCAGATAAATGATTAAATCTTTAGTTCAATTGAACACCAATTAAGAATTAAATTATTATACGCGAATTACTTTGCAAATATTTTATTATTCGAATAACGAAATTATAGAAATGGAAGTAGTTTCGTTCCTTGAAACTTACGCACAGTAGCTGGTTTCTCAACAGTGTCCTGAACGAGCATGAATCCGCAATTCTTTTTCATAAATTCGTCGTAGTCAGACCGGTTTTCGATGACCAAAGAAGCACCCAAAGACCAAAAGCAAGCTAGTATGTACATTGCTTCAAGTATTTCTTCTCTGCTGAATGCGGGTTCCATTGTTAATTCTTTATCTTCGTCTTCCTCAGTTTTAGCAGTGATCACTGGTTTTGTCTCCAGAATTGAAAGTAGACCATCGAACACGTGACAGAGTTGCACTACCTAAATACGAAATCAATTTAACGATGTACATTCGATCAGTTTCATTTCCAAGTTAAGACAGTTGTTGCCCTATTACGAGAGGGTCAATCGATCCAGGGTTTTGCTTAAAAATGTCTCGTTCTTCTATTTTTATTATTAGTTCTGTACAAATTTTCAAACAGTTTTCAATACTTCTGATTTAGACAATAGCTACCTTAAAGTGTGCGATAAATCAGTGAAAAGAAATAAATCAGAATTTTCTTGTCGCATTCGGTTTCCGTATTCAGTCAGTTTAATTAGCCTATGAAAGACTAATTGTTACCATGTTGAGTCCAGTTTGTGGTATGATCATTTTAAGAGGCTTGATCTGCTGCAGTCCCAGCATTCCTTCTATAATGAGTGCGATCGAGCCGTGCACGTATTTCTCGCACATTCCGCTCAATAACTCGTGATCCGATTCGCTTTTGCCTCGGATCCATCTGTCCATGTAAGGCTGATAGCCCAGGTTCTTTGGGTCTACGTACACCATGCCGGCTCTGGATACAGTGGCAGGCGAAGCGTACTGCAGGTCACCTACCTTTTATGAAAAGCGTGAATAACGTCCCAAATGGACAATTTACAGCAATATACCAAATACTGCATCACAAAATGCATTATGATGCATTGAAATTACCTCGAACAACAGGCTGCAATGATTCTGCATCTTGATCCTCTCCTGGTTCGCCAATGTCAGTAATTTATTATCATCCATCACGGAATTCATGTTCTCGATCCATTGAGGATCTACGTCGCCATCGAACAAAATGTATTTTCTCTCTTTCTTTTCGTTATCCAAAGGTCTATTAACTTCCCGAAATATGTTGCTGAAAAGTCCATCGGTCCAATCGCGAGTTACCGGATCCAAAACGCCATAGAGTTCATTCACTGTACATGCCTGTACGAAATTTTACTATCAATTATTGCTGTCATTATTATTTTCAGTAATATCGGAGACAGGGATGCAGATCTTTTAATATCAACTCATTAACGATTAACGATTAATCTTTAATCGAGAAATTCGAATTAACGATTGAATATTAATTATTAATTAGTTAAATGAGTTAAGAATTAAAAGTGAATCATTAATGCTTAATTGAATTAAAGATTTAATTGATTTTCTGTTACCCTGATCGGAGCATACCTTCGGATTTAGCGTGTATAGTTTCGTTGGTGTATTGAGACGAATTTGTGCTTTGCACAAAGTGTTTATAACGACAGATTTGCCGCCTCCTGTTGGTCCAACTACCATCGTCGAATGTCTGGTCATCATCACTTCGTACAACTGGACGACTTTATCGATCTGTTCATTTTTTTAATTAAATTACGAAGTAATATGTCGAATTCTCAATCTGATTTGCAAATTTTTCTTAGGCAAAAATACCTGGATTGGTAGCAAGGTATATCCTTGTTCTTCTAATACATGATTAACTGCTTCGTTAAAATCTGGGTAATGAACCCTGGGGCAATCGAGGTCCGGAAACAGATCACCGATCAGTCCCAAGAACAGCGGGACGTCATCGAAAATAAACTTGGGCAGATTCATGTCCCTGAGCGCCCTCATGAGCACCACATCCTCGGCCAGATCGCCGGATGTCCTTTTCAATTGACCAGCCATATTGAGCACAGACTTGAGTGCTCTTAGGCCAAAGTCGTAATGGTTCTGTTTGCTCAGTTGCTCCCGCGCCAGTTTGTACAATACCGTCATTTTTTTAGCGAGAACCTTTGCAGTCAGGAAGCCAGAGCTGAATAGCTTTATTTGACAGATGAGCTCGTTGTCTGGAACTATGCAGACCACCGGTCGGAAGAGAGCCTTCACCGATTCGGGAAGCTCGGTTCGACCGGCGTATCCCGGATTCATCGTGATGAATATGCCTACTTTCGAGTCGAGCACTATGTCATGACCTTCGAACTGTGAACGATTATAATAAATTTTTGTGAAGAAGTTGAAACGCAATAATTTGCGTACCATAAATCTGGAAGCCTTTGCCATCAAAGCGGAGCGTATAGTTTGTAGTTGCGTAGAAATAACAGACAGAACGGAAATATCGATGCGATTAAATTCGTCGAAACATCCCCAGGCACCACACTGCGCCAGTCCGCTCAAAGTTTTCCCGATCGCCACGTAATCCATTCCTTCGCCACAATTTGTCACAATGCAGAGCAACCCGAAAGCTTTTGCCAAGTCTTTCGTCGTTTCTGTCTTTCCTGTTCCAGCGGGACCTGATCATAAATTTTATGGGAAAGGATAATCATCTTCTTTGGAACCTTTTATTATTACAATTAATCTCCGGGCGCATGGCCATATTTCCTTCTGGAAATGTTACCTGCCGGGGCACCGCCCAGGTGCATTGACAGGGCTTGCGTAATGGTCAGGTATATTCTGTCCGTTAAAGGCGTGACTACGAGTCTGCCATTAAGACCCATGTATTCGTAACCGTACTCAAACATTCCCGTACACTGGTACACCCAAAGATTGTCCAGGTCGTGAACCCAATAAAACCTTCAGAAGATTTCAATTCAAATATATTTATCTTACAAGTTAAGGCCGGAACATCGGGGACACAGATTTTGATGTATTATGTACGGAGTATTCGGTAACTGGTGGTAAATACAAATAGGGAGTGATTCTAGATGAAAAAATAAATCGAAAATACAGAATAAAATGTTTTCATATGAGCCTTTGTTGTCGAGAAAATCGGTTTTGAATTTTCACCGGGTCATCGCCGATTCGAGTTGATACTTAAGATGTACAATCGAGATGCGCACCAATATCGATGGGTTCGATTTCGTCATGTTTAATATGCACACCGCAAATATTGATTTGCTGCCTTAAGTGAATCCTTTCAATTCATGCGGAGTCCAAATATCTAATGTCTCAGATGTCCCGGTCACCGAATGTTAGTTTATCTTAAGAATATCGACATGCAACCTTAATTGGCTTTCCCACTCGAATTCCGCGGGGTCCATAATGCTGTCTCTGACAAAAATTTCAATAATGTCTCTCATATGAACATCGATCGTCAATACCATATCGAACTTTTTTCGGTCGTTATTCGTTAACGTATCGCCACCCATTAGGGTCACCACTTCGTTTAGTTGATTATTAAGTTGTTTTAAGTACTAGAAATAAAAAGCATTGGATAAGAATTTCAAAATTTTGGAGAGTAGGTAAGATTTTAAATTATTGGATATTCGCATACAAGTACCTCTTTCATTGCGCGCATCTCTCCCTGAGATATTTTCACGAAAACATTCTCCACCTCCGCTGTCCACCATATTTGATCGGCCGCCAGGATCATCATTCCCTGGAAATCTAGCATCCATTCTGTTCTCGGTCTCCTGACCTGAAAGAAATTTCAGTGTTTCATCAATTGCTAAATATCTACAATTACTTTCATAAATATTTGGAGACTGCAGTAGTTGCAAAATTATCACTTTATAACGTACTTATCGAATTTCATTTCGTCGGTCGGATTAATGCGCTTTTGTATGAAAATAAATTAGAGTATTATTTATATTACTATAGCTTCCGAATATTTATGAGAGCGATTGTACTTATAATCTCTAATTATTCCGCATTGCTTTGATCTTACTTTTCCATAATTATAGACAGCTTTCTTGGTCAAGTAGCGATTCGAACTCTTCATCTCTTCCAAAGCGAACACCATCCATTCCTCGATCTTTCCTTCAGCGAGGACTACTTGTCGGAATTCCATCACTTCTTTCTCGGACGAAATCAACGCGGTGGCTACCACCCGCTCGGTATTGTTCAGTGTGAAACAGAACTTGTCTAGATTGTCGAACATTTTACCCACGTGTTCCTGAATAGCGACTGGCAAACCGCTGCCAAGTATACTCAGCAATTCATCGTCGCTGAGGAAGGTGAATCGCGGGAATATCGCTCGTTTGCTGTTCAAATAGTCCGACAGGGACTTCTGGCATCGATCCAATCCGACGACCATCGACTCGAACTCTTCCTGTCGACCTACACGATCAATTATTTTAATCGATTTTTCGAATCAAGATATTTGTTTAAATATTTAATTTGAGGAACATTCTAGGGCGCTAATAAAGATATTGATGAGATAAAATTCTAGAAAACAAAAAGATTCAGGTTTTAATGACGACAATAATTAAAAAGTAATTTAAGAAGTAATTCAAGAGTCTCGCTGTGACTCAGAGTTAAGTTAGGTAATTTAATATCGACGATTTTCACCTTTGATCGTGCAACACTCGAGCACATTCAATCTCTTCGAAGTGTCTACCATGATCTTTCTAAAAGACTTGTCTATTTCGTCAAACTTCTTCGCTTCATCTGGTAATTGCATTCTTATGTCGCCGCCCACGAAGATACCTTCGAGGTATAGCCACCTCTTCTGTAGCTGTACCCACAATTCCAGAACTTCGGAGATCATGTGCATCGTGATTTCCCACTTTTGTACTGTGTCGAGAAAGGGACCGATGAACTGCGAAGCTGCCATCCCGTTTACGTTCATCATATTGTCCTCTAGAATTTGATTTAGCTCGTCCACCGGTCCCAAAATGAATCCACGATCTTCGATGCCTATGAGCAAAACCAATCGTTCATCCTTGCTCTTCATTTATGCAACAGTTCTTAATCCTTGGGATTTGCAAAACTTTAATAAACCTTTATAATGTTTAACTACAGTGAATTCCAAATTTTTCCAGACTTCGGTCAGTTCTTTCAAGCCTCTCTCTATGGCAAGCTCTTTCACGGCGTTCGTCACAATTACTTTAGCTATTTCTTGATACTTTCCTAGCTCCATAGCGAACATGTTCTCTAGAGTAAACCTTGAAAATTCATATTTATTCTTTATTTCGGTGAATATCACCAAACGTCAGTATATCAATACACTAAAGTTACATTCGTGACGGAAGAATTAAAGAGCATGAACTCACCCTTTCAATACCCCTATTTCGTGTTCTCCCATGTTTATTAAAAAAAATTTTTATGTTTTGTTAAGTATATAATGTTAAATATTCGGAGACAAATAGTAAAGTAAAGATTCTGTAAAAGAAATAAATTGAATATTGCCCATTTACACATGCATACATGATGTATATTGATTATGAGATGAGATAAAAAGAAAGTATTGCATAAAAATAAAAATAAATATTATAAAAAGAAGCAAGTAAATATGAATATGACAAAATATATACATATAAGCACAAAAACACATAATTCTTCACTAATCACTCAACCACACATATCACTATTTTCTAAGTCATTTTTTACTGTCACACCTATCCGGGTCCATGTCAAAATATTGTCCAGTCTTTTCCATTAATTGTTTCCAATGTCTTTCTCTCATTGCCTCGTTCTTCAGTTCAATAAACAACGGGACGGAATTTTTGAAACTCCTCATGTTCGCTTCCAATGCTTGTCCAATGCTCATACTTTTAACGTTTTTCGGAAATTTGCGAAATTCTCTGATGAAATGATCCATTCCATCAATCAGTTGTTGAGGATTCAGGTTTACCCAGAGAGTTTGCGCCCAAATGTCTCTCGCGCTGATTTGTTCTTTATACAATTGATACAACAGCTCCATTCCCTCATAGTCCTTCTTCACTTTGAGGAAGCTCGAGTAATCCGTGGCTGGTAAATCGAACAGTATCTCCGAGTTGATTAAACTGAGGCGTCTCTCCTCGAGCTTCGTTATCAGTTTCCCATATTCCTGTAGGAAAATTGGAAGATTTTCAAGAAAATTTCGCTTTCTTCCTCTACAGATTCTTTTTTTAAGCCTGAGGAAATGAGCTCACCTCCATTTTCTTCAGTCCAAGTTCAAGGTCATCTCCAACGCTGCCAGGACCGTTGGCCTCGAAATCTTGTCGAAATTCTTCAAGTTCGTCGACGAATGTATTTATCTGCTCCTGCGTCATGTCTGAAAATCTGTCAGAAGTAGTTGCCAGTGTCGAAGCTCTGTACAATGCACCCAGGTACAAAGATTCCCAATCGCGTTGTAGATTGTAAGCCATTTGCTCATCTTCTTCAGGGAATGATATTTCGTGACCTCGAAACGTTCGAAATGTTTCCTAAAATATATGGTGAGTCGCATCAAATGCGAACATTTCAGATCTGAACTTTCAATCTTAACGTAGAGGAAACACGATTTTTATCTTTGATTTCAGTACAGAGTGTAGAACAGGACAGAGAGTGAAAAGAGAACGGAAGTGCGATCGATCGAGGTAGTCGACAGAGGTCAAAGGTGTTGGTCTCACTTTAATCAAAAGAATATCCGGAATATGTTAAAAATAAAATGATTACGAAAAAAAAAAAAAAAATAAAAAATTTTGTTGGTGAATTAGTATTAACTCGCATGAATATTTTGCTGCGAAGTAAAGAGCTTCTTTCGTTTTATCGGTTAATCATATTTGCTGAAGGCACACCTGATAGGTGGTGTACCGGACTTCTGCTTGAATTGCTGTTCTCTTTATATCAGCTATCGCCTGCATGACAGATGTGAAACGATCCAATCCAGTGATTACGAGTTCGACTTCGCTTCTGAAGCTTTCGATTAACAAATTCATTTCGTTCATCCCGTGAGCTGTTTGGGCCAGGAGGAAGTTTCCAAGTACTTGTTTCCATTCCGTAGCGTGTTGTGTAATACCGGTCAGCAGGGGATTCAGATTGATGCTGATCAAAAGAAATTATATTTAGTAAATCCTCTTTAAGGTCCATTTCGACTTACGATATTCATCGACGACTGTCGTTGACGAAAATCGAATATTGATATTTTTAGGCGTAATTCTCGAAATAATAAACGCAAAGATAGCCTGTTATAGGGGCGGCAATCTGATTGCAATTTCAGTGTTTCTTAATTGCAATTTCAATGTTTCTTAATTATTTTCGCTAAGACTATTGTTCTATAATTTCGTAAGCATTACCGTACGCAAAATAAATCATGATACGACGCCATCTCGGACACCTCCTCGAGTATGTTATCATAAAATGTGAATTTCTCATCGTACTGGAAGAGGGTTGGCTCGTTCGCCGCGTATTTCTCAGCGGCCAAATTTTTATCGAATGACCAGAGATTACTGTACTTCTTCCATCTATGCAGATAATGCCAACATTCGAGCGCTATTTTATGCGCCGACCTTTGAACCATTAGTATAATATCATTCACTTCCTACACAGATTATGAAATTTTTTTTATAAATATCATAAATATTTGTTAATATTTGTCAGAAAAATTTTAATCTCGATCTTATAATTTATTTTTAAGCCTTGCCTTAGCTAATATAGTAATAATTGATACTCTGAAAGTTCTGTTTTATATAAAAATCCGCAGCCTATTTAGTTACAAGCTTACTTGAATGCTCATGACATCTTCGAAGAAGGTGAATGAAACGTAAGTATCAGTTTCTCTCTTTCTTTGCGGTTTGCTTTCCAAGCAAGACCCGTTCAGCCACCTAGGAAACAATTTCAACTCTTCCAGCAAATTTTTCAAATTTTGTAAAATGACGGTGTAAATTTCACCCGGCGACGGCCTTAGAACTGCCTCAGAAGCTATTAACACAGCATCCACTTGAAACATTGGTTTATTCCCCATTAATCTCCTGTTGAAGCATTCTAAATTCTGGATCATGCACCTACGAAATCCATAATTCTCTGACTAATTTCATATTACATGTGATTTTCAGTGAGTTCCACATATTTATGCGCCGACCTTTGAACCATTAGTATAATATCATTCACTTCCTACACAGATTATGAAATTTTTTTTATAAATATCATAAATATTTGTTAATATTTGTCAGAAAAATTTTAATCTCGATCTTATAATTTATTTTTAAGCCTTGCCTTAGCTAATATAGTAATAATTGATACTCTGAAAGTTCTGTTTTATATAAAAATCCGCAGCCTATTTAGTTACAAGCTTACTTGAATGCTCATGACATCTTCGAAGAAGGTGAATGAAACGTAAGTATCAGTTTCTCTCTTTCTTTGCGGTTTGCTTTCCAAGCAAGACCCGTTCAGCCACCTAGGAAACAATTTCAACTCTTCCAGCAAATTTTTCAAATTTTGTAAAATGACGGTGTAAATTTCACCCGGCGACGGCCTTAGAACTGCCTCAGAAGCTATTAACACAGCATCCACTTGAAACATTGGTTTATTCCCCATTAATCTCCTGTTGAAGCATTCTAAATTCTGGATCATGCACCTACGAAATCCATAATTCTCTGACTAATTTCATATTACATGTGATTTTCAGTGAGTTCCACATACTCTCCTGCTCAAAAGTTTCGAGCACCCTCTTTTTTTACTTTTTGAACGAAGCAAATGTTTTCACGCATATGCAGATGTGTTTTTGAAAATATTCGTACTTGTATTAATATTACATTGCGTTAACGTGTTTTATAGTTGTACTTAGATTGGTATGAATATACGTGGGACTCACTTTACATATGTATTTCCATGAGCTTACGTTACGAAAGCAGAAAATATCTTTTTTTCATATTTCTCATAGAAAAGTTGCATGGACGGACTTTTACCCGTGTATGTTCTCAGCACCAAACTTTCTATTTTGATCAGTACTGGGCCTGTTGATTCATATATCGTAGTCATCGCAGTGACTAATTGAGTTCGTCGGTTTTGTATTTCTTGGAAATAGGTCTTCATACGATAAAAGGAAAGATTATGTACAATCGAAAAAATGTATTGAAATAACAGACAAAGAGAGGGGTTTGTGAACCTTGCATTGCAGAAGTTCCGTGCTCTCGCCCAATTCTGGCCACAGAGAAAAGAGATTGTACGTTTGCATTTCATTGTTTATTCTGTTATCCAGATCCGCCTTCATATGATTCACCTGGTCCACGATCGAGCTTAGGTTTTTCAACAGTTTGTCACAACTTTGAGCATAATCCGAAATGTTTAAAGAATTCCAATTGAAACGCATTACTCCCGGTTGAATGTATTTTTCGACTTCTACCAAGCTGTTCTTCATCAATTGTATCTGCGATGACAAATACAATGACGACAAATATTAATGAATGATATAAATGGTATAACAGATGTATTTAATCAGTACGTAATTTTTTATAATATTCATAATGGTTTGATATGTACGTCTGCTTTGTCCATTTTATCGATCATCCTATTGTATCGGTCGATCACTCTTTCCATCATCTCGAGATCGTTCCTTAATCGATTTTTCTGGATACTGGCATCCTTCACCATGGGAGATAATTCAAAACCTAATTGCTCCATCAATTCAGCCTGCGACGTGAACACAGAAGAATGAATTGTTTATAAAATTTTCTGAAATTTTTTTTAATCTCGTGCCCACGGTACCTCGTGTATGATCTCGAATACTTTGGCATCGAAGTTCACTTCGAAACGGAGACGGCATTCGACGAGAATCGATCCACTCATAAATTCTGTCCAAGTAATTTTTGTTCCCTGAGGAGCAGGAACATGCTTCTCCGAGGCAGTCGTTGTCGATTTTTGATCTCTGTGAGACGGGAGCGACGCTTTGGTCTCATGCTTCGTGTCCCCTTTAATTTGTAATTTAGTACCCGCAGAACTACCTGTCTCTAATTTCGGAAACTCATTAATGAAATTGAATAATTCGGAACAAACACAGTAGATCTTCAATTATTACCAATGCTCGGTTTGGACAGAACAGGTTCAGCTTTTTGAACCGATCCTTGAGGAGTAACTGATCCGGGGGATACGAAATCTTTATTTCTTGCTTTCTTTGACATATGAATTGTCTGGACGTTTTTCACGCTTACTGTTTTCTCGACTTCAGGAAATGTTAAGGCACCTAAAACAAATTTTGCTGAGATAGAAAGTGAGATCGCTTTATTCAGAAACTGTATATATGTATAGAATATTATTCTAGTTTTGTTCAAAATATACAGAATACATATTAACTTTTGTCTGGCTGAGATCGTATCATCCTCAGGATACTCCTCTTCATCGTGTTTATTACTATAAATTGAGCATTATCCGCCCACGTGTTGAACTTCGACTCTTCAAATGCTTTCATCTGTTTGGCTACTTCGTAGTACTGGCTGAAAGCTAGAATCTTTAATTTGCTGTGCTTCAATTCTGGAACGTTTTGAAGGATCAGCACGGGTCTTCGTAAGCGGTGAAACAATTGTCTCACCCAGTATATAGCACCAGCCATCGGTGGGTGATACGTTAATAGAGGAGGATACCGTTTCCCTAGGTTTTCAATGTCATAATTGATAATTCGAACGAGTGAAACGAGGTAAAGAAATTTACTTTCAAAATTCTTGTTTATTCGAGGGGCCAAAAGCCATAATGAACAGAACAGCTGTACCATTCCCGAAACCTTTTGATACCGAAAAGTGACCTGCACCACTATGACTTTTACCCCTTTAGTTAACGATATACCTCTATTAAATATTCCTTCGACAATGCTGACTTCTTTGCTAAATTGCTGCATGATGACATCGAATTTTCTCATTAACTGTTGATGAACTGTGGCTCTAGTTTTCATCTCTTTAAACATTATCAACATCTCGAGCGCGTGCTCCGCGCTAACTAACGCCATAAAGCACTCGTCGATGAAGAACTTGGCTTCGTTCTCCAAGAAGTGAACTTCTTCGTAGAACAAAGTCATCGTCGCTTCCCAGTTGTCTTTATTGAACTCGTCAAAGATATTGAAGTCAGCCTCCAAAAATGGAACGATCAATCTGTCGACTCTCTTTATTATGGTGTCAATTTGAGCCGGGTCGGAGATTATAGATTTTAAATTTGGTCCAAAAATGTTATGAAAATCCTGCAGTACGCTCGCTACTTGATTGAAACCGTCGCAAACCGATGCTATGTACTCGGTTCCTTTAAATAATCGTTTCTGGTCAAACTCCCAGCGCATTCCTTTGCCAGAAATTTCAATGTCTTCTCGATTCTTCAAGTACGAAAATTTCCAGTTTTTCAACATCGAGGAAGCTTGTTCTGTTTTCTGCAGTATCACTTCCAAAGGCTGCCTGTATTAAAACTTAATTACATTTTAATAAACGGTGCGGATTTTTATTACATAAAGTATAATTATAATAAATACGTAAACAAAATTAATTCGTTAAGTACAACATTATAAAAGTTTATATGTATAGAGTATAGGAAAGTGCATATGTCAAACTCACTTGAACAAATCGTTGATGCTTAAATGCTGTATAACGCTTTGACAGAGTTGCCACGAAATTCTTTCCAACAGACCCATCATCTTCTCCTCGTTTGAGTAATAGCTAGAGAGGATCCAAATCATTCTTAATCCCTCGGTTAGTGGCATAATCGATTGATTGATCAGTTTAAAGTTATCCGACTCTGTCATTATCTAAGTTAATTATCGTATTAATTTATGTTAATGAAGTTCTATCGATAATTAAATTAACAATCAGATTTTCTGTTTTGACTAGTTGCGTACAGATAGAAAATAATTTCTCGCAATTTTTTAAGTCTGCACGTTTGCTATTGTCTGCTACCTTGAAGTGTCGCGTGACAGTCTGCAGGAATCGATTATTATCCCTGGCGTTTGAGTAGAATTTCCACAAGTCCGAGTAAAAGTATTCGAAATTCGAGATGATAGGCGAGAGCACTTTGGTTAATAAATTCATAATTCTTTTCGCCATGGGAGTTTTCAATTGTTCGACCAGCATTAGCAGTCCCATTTCGCGATCTTGCCAGTAATCACATTCGGCCAATGGCCCTCGACCCTGTGGCACTTTCGTTTGGAACGATTCCAGAACCTACATGTAAAAACTTTTAGTATTTTTACATAAAGTTTCTAAAAAGAAAGCTAAGACAACTGTGAAAAACGACCCACTTTTTCTATATGCACTCCCCAAGACATAAGCACGGTCTCAAGTTCTTCGATGACCAGTTCGTTTTTTTCTAACATCTCCTCGGTAACGTCTGGGTCGTCGAGTTCTGGGATGTTGGGCATAGTTAACAGAATATCACCTTCTATGTGCTCCAATGTCCTAGTGGCGATATTTTTACATACGACAGAAATTTTTAATACAATACAAATGACTGATTTACAACACTATTTAACATTTAACTTAATAACTTTGGAGGTACATAAGCAAGACGCAAGTAGGCGTAAACTATGCATAAATAATATAATAAAAGGGATGACTAATTCTGATAGAATTTCACAGGGAAGAGTTTTTTCTAAATTACTAACCACTCAACGTTGCGTATTAATTTATCCAAATAAGACAGAATATCGATCTTATTCTGATCAACAGTACGTTTCTCTTGATCTTTCAAACTGGAGATTCTACTTTTTCTTTTCTCGATACTTATCGTGGAAAATTTGAGAGGTCTCGATTTCGTTCTGGCCTCGAGTTCCGTCAGCTTCTGAGTTGGAGAAGTTGCGTCTTCTTCGTCGTCTTCTTCGTCGTCTTCTTGTTTCGCCAGCACGATGGACATCCTGCGAAATTCCGAGGGTCTTCTAAAGACTGCACTCTGTTTACCAATGGAAAAATTATATAAAATAAAATTCTTTTCTTCATGTTTAATGTAAAGAAATTATATGTGTACTCGAGTTGCTATGATGTCTGTTAGGGTAGGTTCCTCCACCTCTTCTTCTTCTTCTCTTATTTGTTCTACGAACCTCGGCCCTCTAAATTGAGTTTCCACCAACGGTTTAAATACCTATGAAATGTTAGAAGTCAGATCTCTGAAACGTTGATATCTTCGCGTAATTTTATCGTACTTCGACGAGCATTCTGTTCAAAGAAACCAGAAATCTTCCCTGCAGCGATCCGACTACTAAATAATTCGTGATCAGCTCCTGACACTCGGCGTACGAATCGAAGTTTGGTACACCCTCGTCGGTGGTTCTTAGAAAATAGAACAACGTTACGTCCTGTAAATCAGGTCTGCTGCCGTCGACTTCGCCGCATATTATATGGAGGATGGGTGTTTTCCGAACTTTCTCCATCATTTTCTGTAATGAGAATAATTACACCTGAAAATCACGTACAATAGAACTCCGATTATCGGAACATCCGTTATCAACACTCTCCATTAAATGAACGTTCTTTGATCAAGACATTTTATTATCCCAGCATGTATGTACGCCAAGTGAGTCGGAAATCATTTTTTAAATAATCAGTTTCTAAGTTGTTATTTGCGAATGTTTCATTAAATATAATATTTGCAATGGGAGTAATTTTAATTTCCGAGGAAGCAAATCGGGAGCAATTTTTTAAAATAAATATTGTTGAGGAATATTAATATTACGTCATTGGTTCCGATAATCGAGGTTCTACTGCACCGACGTGATAATGGATAAATATTTTTACTTTTTTCAAAACATATTTATGCTGTTCTTCTGGCGGCGGAACGAAGTTCGGATCAAACGAGACATTCCTCTTATCACCCCGACCACCTTCATCTTTCGATTCTTCCGTATCTGTATCTTTCGGTTCTCCAGTGTCCGCTTCTTTCGAACCTTCCGCTTTTCCTTCGCCATCTTCTTCGTCCTTTTCATCTTCGTCATCCTCGCCGCCTTCGTCTCCGTTCTCAGTATCCTCGCTACGTTCGCTTATCATCGACTTTTGCTCCGACTTAAGAGTCTCCATTGATTCCTCGAGTTGACGGAGCAGAGCAAGTGGATCGACATCGGCCGTGATCTTAATTTTTTTCTTCTCTTTTTTTTTCTTCTTTTTCTTCTCCGCAATTTCACTTTTTTCTATTTTTCCTAAAAATTCGTAAAATGGAAATAGAAATTGTGATTGTATTCTTGGATCAAGTTTGCAAAGTGTGCAGAAGTCATGCTTGTGCGAGTCGCAAAATTACGCATGCAAAAGGATCGTAATTATGTTAAGTACAAATTACCGGATATACCTCGCATCAACCTACGACTTTTTCCTTTCATCGCCAATGCCGTTAAGGCGGCCAATTTACTAACATTTTGGCTGGCTGCGATATTCATTAACAACAAAATAATTTAAAATAATTTCATTTTTATTTTATTTGTTTAAGATGTAAAGAAATGTTTCGTCTTGGCTTACTTAAAAAACATATTTTTAGTAAAATAAACGGATCACCTTGTACAAATACCTGTTATCTGAACATTTTATTATATGAACATGTTTCGTGAATACCAGATCGGGTAAAGGGGATAAAGATTAATTCAAGCCATATCTCAAAATCAGTTTTATTATTTTATCGTTTTAAAAAAAGCATCGGTAGAAGAAAGTTAGTTTAGAACTGTTAAGCCAACCATTTATTTGATTTTTCGTCCATCATAAAATCGGGCCCATTTGCGGCTAACTGAGAAATCCCAGGTTGGCTTGAGGATTAGTTTGTCAAATCCCAAACGGTCAAGTCCAATACGATTATAAAAAAGGAAAAAGAAAACGATTTACGACTGACAAGATGCGCAGGTCAAATGGAATCCCACGTGTACCGTAGATGGGGAAACTTCCACCTCTACTAATCAAGTAGGTGTGACAAAACGATCGGAAAAGTAAGGGAGCACAAGCGAATTGGTAGAGAGATACAACGCCCCCGGAATGGAAAAACGACCGCAAAATCTTCCAGAGGCTCGGAGCAGGGTTGAGGGTCAGTAGAGCCTCAGAAATCGAAAAGAGGGAACACCGACATTTTTATAGTAGAATAGGTCTATACTAGCCAAGTCCAAACATATCTTTATACAATCTGATAAGTAGACTGCAAGTGTTTATGAAAATAGTTTTATAAATAAAATTAAAAAAACAAAATGCATATAAATATTTGTTTTCCTCGAAATATTATACTTTAAACATTTAGTATTTATTTGTATATTACTGAATTCGGTGTTCTTTTAAACTATTGAAAATTCCTATAAATGCATAAACATCCGCAGTCTACTGATTATAGTGATTTCACATATAAATCACTTTCTCAACTCACTTTCCCAAATCGAAACCTCTTCCTGGACAATATCTATGTGATAAGTACAATAAAAGTAAACCACCTTTCTCTCGAGGTCGGTCACGCCGTAAATGTCGAGTATTAAGAAGTTCAACAATTTGTCTTCATAGTATCGATCATTTGCCTATAATTTCGTACTTAAGTCATTTTCTTCTTACATAATTAATAGACAGCGGATTTTAAGACTTTATAAAAATATTGAATATGCCAAAAATATAAGTGCAGCGTATAATGCATAAAACTGTGCAAATTACCAGAAGTTGAATGCGTATTTTAATACTTAAATGATAAAATTAACGTTTATCTAAAATATATTTTTTAAACAGATATCATAAACGTTTATTTTTCTTAAAAATCCGCAGTCCAGCAATTATACTACTCAGAAGTTTTTTGAGTAGTGCAAATGTGAAAAGATGAAAACCGTAGAATTTACATTTAAGAGTCTGTAGAAGAGAATCTCGTGGCCAGATATTCCTAAGAATTTCATCACTCTGTCGCGTATCCACCTCAATCTATAAGCAATTGAGTATTGATTTTTTAATTTTTTCGAGGGTTACACAAATTTTCTAGTTGTCATTACCGATAGTCCATGTGTATTACGGATTGTCTGATCTCGAAATCGAAGTCATCATCCTTGTCATCATCCTTGTCATCATCCTTATCATCATCCTTATCATCTTCTTCACCACTTTGAGTGTCTTTTATACCTTCACCTTCTGATTCTGCCATATTTCGGCAAAGTATAATATGTTTATTGGATCCTATTAAATTACCTTCGTCTGCGAGACGTTAGGCAAAATTCTTTTGCCAATATTTTCGAATGTTAATATTAGTTCTTTTAGTTTATGATTTTTTATAGTTACGATTATTCAATTACTTATATCCTCCACTAGATTCACAGAACTTTCTTACGAGATTCCATTTACTTTAACCCCAGTGTTTTACACGGTGAATCGATTATCGCGAGTCTCGGTATATCGACGTTGTCATGGCAAATAAACAGAACTTTACGAATGGAAAGGGAGATCAAGGAATGCGGCACAGTGATCTTCTTCGCCCGAAAAATTATACAAGTTTGACTTGATTTAAAAATTATTAGAACATATTTAGATTTAGTTTAAGTAATTATTATATTCTTGTGGAAATAAATTCCAAGAAGTAGTGAAATCAAGAAAAGTTTTCTTTCTAAATTGATATGAAAATTATTTATAAAAGTAAAATTTACAGCATAATTATAAATAATTAGATCACTTAAATTTAAATATTAATCACAGCGAAAAGATCGAAATTATGTTTGTAGGAAGTTCCTTATAGGTATAGGAAAAAATGGTCTATTTTTTACAACGAACATATATAATATATTTAAAGATTATTAAAATATTGGATTACATAAGTACATGTATAGTTTAATAGTCGCATAATTCCTATCGTTTCTTGCACGCGCTTGCATACATCACACACATCTACTACGTTACATATGTATTTAATGTTCATATCGAAACCCTATTCCTTGTCATTGGTAGATGGTACAGTTAGTAAAACATCGGCTATTGTTTTCTTTTTTTGTTGGACTTTGTAATTTGTTGCTGACAAAAGACAGTTAGGGAACCATAATAAAAAGTACGAAGCGGTAGGACATCACAGATTTCGTTTTAAACCTAAGTCTTTTCCTATCCTCAATTCTTTGCTAGAGTCTCGTTCTTCTTCGAGACCGCGTCTCCCTCAACCCTTTCCTTCAAAATCGTTTCTTCCCTCTTGCTTTCAGCTGGCTGTGGCTCGATCAAACCACCAAGCACAGCCTCTACGAATTCTTCCCTGCCTTCGCTAGTGTCAAACGAGAATCCAATCGACGGTACGAATTCTGTCTTCACTACAGTTTTCTCCGTGGTAAGCGTAGTTTCTAGCGTTGTTTCAGTCGACCTCGGAGTTGGTTCAACAGTCGTTGCAGGCACCTTTACTTCTTCAGAATATTTTGTTCCTTCAGAAGGAAGTCTAGTTTGAAAACTGATCGATCGTTCTTTCTCAGGGAGATCAAAAGATTTTCTTTCGGTTCCGTAAAGAGGATCCCCAAAATTTTCTGCTAACTGGCTCAGTATCTCTTCCTTTGATTGAGGTACTGATGTTCTGAAGTCCTCTGTGGAAGTCTCTTGGTAATTTGTTGTTGTTTCGTCTTCCAGTTCTGTATTCAAACTCAAATTTCTAATTGTGGTTCTTGGCGATAAATTCTGGGTATCAGAAAATGAAAATGGCCGAGGAACTCTGTCTAGTTTAAGTAACTCCGACATGAGTTGCAGAAGACTGACTGTTCTGCGATTTTTAAACTTGTCAAGTTCAGTGGTATTCTTGGAATTAGAATCATCACTAGTAGTAGTTTCAAAGTGTGTTCTTCGAACTATTGGATCTACAGATTTCACTATTTCCAATTCGTGTATTTTGTCATTGTGGTCAGAAATTTCTCTATTCTGCTGGACTGTTAACTTACTGACGAAGTCTTCCTCAGTGGAGACAGTTTCTTGATCTTTATTCGCTGTTGTCTGTTTAGGTGAATTGCTAACTCCAACAGTTTTCTCGATTTGCTTCAAGATTTCAGATCTAATAGATTTGGATGAAGTATTCACTGTTGCTGATTCTATACTATCTTTTTCTCTTGAATTTTGTCTGAATTCTTCTGAATTTTTATGAATAAGAAGCCTATTACTTTTAGAACTATTATCAGAAACAATTGACGTTTTATTTAAATTTTGTGACAAATTCTCTTTAGAAGTTTCATTTAATGGAATATTTTTGGCCGAGTGCAGAAATACTGGAGGTAGTGTAATGTCTTCCACAGAACTCTGTCTTTCAGTATTACTTTGATACGTCTTCGAGACAAAAGAAGCGATAGGTAAGTGTCTGTTTGAAGATCCCTCGTTAGAACTATCATTGTAATCGCTTGAAGAATCTTTGACATCCAAAGGATGGGGAGAAGATGAGGGAAACCGAGATGCAATTCGAGAAGCTAGGGATCTTATTATCGTGGTTTGATCATTTTGATAACTAGCTTCAGTAGTAGTCTCTACGTTTTCATAATTACTCGTTACTTTCGAGTTTTCGTCTAAAGACGTAGAATGGTCAATATAATCATCGGGATAAGTAGTGCGAAACGCTGGTAACTTAGTAGTTCCTTCAGTTTGGAACGAGGAACGTGGTAAGCTGGTCACGTCAATTAAATCTGGTACCTTTATCTGGAATTTACTTTGCGGAGGTTTCAAAACTTCAATTGGCCTGAAGTTATCCTTCCTATCAATGTTAGGTGGCAAAAATTCGGAATTCGAAAATTTCGAAGTTTCTTGAGGGCTGGTGCTCGCTTTTATGGTGCTTTCGATTACTGATGGCGTAGTGGAAGGTACGAAAATATCGTCGTGAACAACTTCCTCGGTTTCATCGTTAATTTGATATTGATTAGTCGTTTCATCTTTATTCTCTTTGTGACTATCCGTTGCCTCAGATTTAATCAAAGTGTGCTTAATTTCTTCTTTACGAGAACCGGTTTCCTCTTTCGATTTCTTTTGCACGGGATCCTGTTCCTGAATAGAGATTCCTCTAAACGAATCGTGCAAAGCATGACCTAAACCGATGCTTCCCCTCGTTTCAAAATCGTCTATAAATTCTTCGTTATACCTAATTGGATTGAAATCTCTATAGTCACTGCCTAACAATGGTCTTCTTTCATTTAACGATCCTGTCCTATTGAAATTAAGATTTTCAGCAACTCTCACTTGGAACCGTTCTTTGGACCGTCCGTCTCTTGTCTCTTCACTATTGATATCTTCATAATCCTCGTAACTATCTTGCCTAGTATTATCGTCATCCCCATCCGACTTCCTGAACGTTGGAGGGGTGACGAAACTTTTCGTCCTACTGTGTGAAAAATAGTAATCCGAACTGTCGATGTCCTGATCCAGCTTATTATAAGCTAAAGTGGACGGTCTGAAAGTAGTAGGAACTGTCGGAGAGTAGAATCTCCTAGTCGTAGTAGTCACCGTGGGTACAGTGGGCGCGTAAGACGGTTGGAATTGATTGGTGAATTCGTTAGGTCGTTGATAACTGTGCTGGAAATCTGTGTTTCTGCGTGGACTTTCATAATCCGGATCATTGATCTTCTGTACGCGAATAATCGGCGAGTCTTCGTATGAAGGTCTAGATTTCCCGTAGAATCTTCCTTGGTAACTTCTACTGGTCTCTGTCTTTCCATCCTTCAGCTGATAAGGCGGCAGGAAGTCTCTACTGATAGGTCCACCGTAATTATCGAAGTTGCTTTTTAAATGGTTCCCGGTTGTATCTTGTGGGGAGTAATCCAGAATTCTTGATGGATTCCTTTGATAGTCTACTATGCTTCCGGTTCGATCGGGATCTACTAGACCCTCTTCGGTGACATCCATCCCGGATTGAAGACTGATCATAGCATACGCGTTTCGAATCATTTCGTCGTCATCTTGTTGATAACTGTTCCGATTCACGTCTATGTATTTGCTACTGGAAGCGCAGTCTACTTTGGTCCACCAATCGCATGTTAGCAATTTCTGACTGAAAATAGATCCTATGGGGCAGAGGAATGAGGAGACCAGCACGTCGTGGCACACGTGAAAAACTTGGCAACCTGCCACTTCATCCGCGTAGTATCCTGAAAAATAGAAACAGAGGAAGCTGATTAATTTTTCACGACTCTATCCAGAATCGCGTTGCATTAAAATTTTGCAGGTAGCTTTTTAATAGTAATAGGAATTTATAATAAATTCAACATGCTAGCATTGTTTAAGTGTATAGCCTATACATTCTTAAACTGGTTCCTCCTGTTTTCGCTCAATAGAATCGCGAAACGAGCAACGAGCAATGTTTCACGTTCGATTTCGTTACATAAGGTACACGAGGCGTCGCGATGTTTCTGTGCTCGTCTAGTATCGTTCCCTCTCGCTTCTTTCACCGTTGCATTATCCAATAGAGTGGTCTCTTCCGCGAGCTTCGAGTTTCGCGGTACAAAGAACCACACGGTGTCCACTGCATTATGCGACGCGAGGTACTCGAAAGTATCGAGCCATCAATATTAAAGCCTGTTTTCCTCGGGGCGAGTACCGCTTGACACGACTTCGCGAAGAAATTGGATAGATACATCGTCTGTGCTGAAAGCAATAGTGACGCAACGGACAAGTGGAAGAAAAATAAGAGAACTCATGAGAGTCGGGCCTATGCAAATACGTGTGCGCGATCATTTGCCGTTCTGAGGGAAAAGTACACGAGCAAGAATTTTCGTGGGTCTCCTGCGACGAGCTCCGTGGGGGGATTCCCCCGGGCGGCGGCAGTTGGAACGGTGACCTATTGCGAAAAATTGAAGAAATTGCTGCGAGCGGAATTCACAGATGCGCTGTCCTCGTGCACGTGAGAATCATCCTTGACATCGATGATGCGCGTTAAGAACCGTGTAAGACAATAGTAATTGTGATTGATTGTAGGATAGAGTGACTGAGTTTAGTTCATTCATACCCAGATAGACGATTTACGACCGCGACAAACTTACTAAATACTGCAAATGCACCGACGCTTTGCACTTGTTGCATAATTTTTGCACCTCATGACGATCATGAGAATCTATCCGGGTAGGAATGTGCAATGTTGTTATTTTCGTTTCGTTGATAATTGTTGTCGATATGTATTGTTTGTGTTTTAAAGATATTCTTACCTCTTGAACGTTCCTCGCAAGTAAATCCTGTCTGGGGGAGAATCGTGTATGCCGGGTAATCTACGCCCGGCTCACCTGGCACGTTTCTCCTAATATCCGAGAGGTCTGTAAAAGAACAAAAACGAATATTTATGGACTTCACTGTGTTTAAACTTTGATTTTATTAATCATGGAGAACGTTAATCATCTTCACATGATCTTTATAGGTCCAAATAAATATCATGGAATGATGGTGAGCATTTCGTTGACCTTTGAACGGTGCAATGACTATGCTGTTGTGTACGTTGAGAATGAAAGGTGTGCATCTTGAATATACGTATACAGTTGCGAACAAAAGTTTCCGAATGATATGGATTTTTGTATTTTATGCAATTTCATGTATTTCATTTGTAGTTATAAAAAAGGTCTAATTAAATTTCTCGATAGTTAAGTAACAGATAGTTCGATAGGAGTTGAGTGATTTATAAGAATTCACTGAAAATATCTTTATAAAAAACATTTTGATTCATGGCTACGTAATATCTTTTTCCAATCATCGACCGTGTAATTTAACTATTCCATGTATGCCAGCTTCAGTATAGGGCGTCTTCGTATCGTCCGCTTACTAATATCTGACTCTTCTTTTCTTTTAATCGTTTGGAAACTTTTGTCGGACTACATTCCAGGTAAATATTTAAAAACGATAAACATATTTTTTATAACAATGTTTTACAATTATTACAAAATACAAAAATCGACATCTTTCAGAAACTTCTATCCGTAGCTGTACGCACATATTCCATGTTAAGTTTCACGCTGCCTGTGAATGGTCTGCACTTGCAGTGTGCGTTAATTGCAACCTCAAACAACAGCAGTGCTCACGAGAAATTTCTCGTAGATCAAAGTGTATACACGTGTTGCGCGTCCCACATAAAGGAGTACGGTAACACGTGACGAGGAGCCAAGGTCGCGAAAAGGACCTCGCCAGGATAGATAATCCATCGCGCGTGACATTTAAAGGAACGTGTTCATTCCGCTGGAAGCGCCACACGTGATGCCTTCCACGGTCTGCTTCAGGTAATTCGCGACAGATTTTACGTGACCTATGCCGCGGTATTTCCATTATTCCTCATCGCCTTTCACGCCACTCGCGAGAACCCAGCAATCATTCGGTAATCGCAGTGATCAGTTCTACATCGACGATGATCAGAATATTTCTCTATGTTCTCTACGAGATTCCTAAAAGAAGTCTGTACCAGAATTGGGCATTTTTCTATTTCAAATAACATGAGAAACGGTTATTAGAAATAATTTATATTTCGTCAATTAGAAGTATGAAAACACTTTAATCAATTATTTTTTAGACCAGGTATGATAAAATAATCTAATCACTATTTAAAATAATCGATAAGGTGGTAAACAATGGCATTACAAATGAGAAACTTGCAGGAAACGGTGATAAGAATCGATAGCGCGACTTTGTGACAATAGCTAGTAAATAGGGACAAGTGAAAGAAACTTTTTCTTGTAACATCCAAGAAGAAAATTCTTTCACTTATCGTTTCACTTTCAACATTTGTATAATCGTTGTTTCGTGTCTCTAGTAATTAATAACTCCGACAATTTTTATCGATTGACACGATTGTTTAATGCTACCTCTTGAATGAAAGTGAAGAATCTATGAAACGAGTTTGCCAACACGCTCATTATCTAGTGCTTAGGCAATATTATTCATCCTCTTTTCTATAATTAGTAACGCATTGACACCAATTCTATCTATCGATGTAAATTGCCATTCAGATGAATAATTGTACGCCTCTAATCGTTGAGTTTATAAAAATACGTCCCCTCTTTTCTCCTCTTTTAACAAGAGTAATATATGGTAACCCTATCTACAATTATATCTGGTGAAAATTACCAGGTGGTAAATGAAATTTCGCGTAAGAAGAGATGAAACGAATCGAGATCTACCTGTTTTCTCTTGGTAAGGATCGTACTGGCCGCCGGCAGATCCATAACTGTCGAACGCTCCATCTTCATCCGGGTCGAAATACTTCCTGAAACGACAGAGTTTCATCGTTAATCGTCCGGCACGCATCCGCGTAAACACGTGCGAAACATAACGAACGTACCTTCCTCTGGTCCCATCGATGGCTCTCCGTGACAGGAAGCTCCTCCTTGGAATTCCATGTTCAAGACTGCCGTGAACGTTGCACAATACCAGCGTCACGAGACCTATGCAGAAAGGAGTGCCTTTACATTCTGTGGTCCAGTCTTCAGATTCGACAATGCAAGGACCATGATTTGTTTTAACATGAATCGTTGAAGCGCATCATCTAGAATTTTGTAGTCTAGCTAGGATAAACTATGATTTTTTCCATTTTCTGAAGTCTTCTTTTCTATTTCATCTTTGATATCAACTTCTATCGATACTCTCGAGTGATCAATTCATAAATCTTTTCATGTTCCAATTTCATACTCCTACTATACACGCACGTATTTACTCTTCTCACTCTTCTGAACGGAACGAACGGCAGAAAGCCGCTTATCATCTCCTCCCAATCCGCGAATTCCACTTTCTACTTCACATTACATATTCGTACAGCGTCCCGGCTCCGTCCTCTTCGAGTAAACACCGTCCCAATACGAATTCCCGTAATCGATTATTTACAACTATTTACACCTGACCTATGATTGTCCAGATTTTCAGACATGATTAATTTTCTTTTTTATGACAATAAAGAACCAATCTAAAATATTTTTATCTTGTATGATGTATCTACGTGTAGTCGCTAACGATCTTGTTGATGCGATCTTTATAAATAAATAATTTAAAAAAAAGCTATTTACGCCTCTCTG